GATGAGTCCCTTTTTGCAACGTCTGCTTGTAGATAAGACTTTTAAAAGTTGAGAGAGATTTTGAAATGAAACAAGGTTCACAGAAATTATGTAGTAAACTCATCTCGGCCGGTTTCTATTTGTTTTCTAGGCAGGATTACCAACAAAAAAAAACCTATTCAATTTTAAAGTGGTCCCAAAAATATACGGCGGATACTCAAATATACCCAAAAAGTCCTTTATCAACACTGCAATGCAACATTTCCGTTGTTTGAGTGCACTTCTATTTCATGCCACTGTTAATTAAACAATACATTATATTATCATCAAATACTTTATAGGAAAACTGGGTAGAGATGCTGTCATCAAATCTAGACCTTGGGGCTATGGAGGTTTCTCCTTGCATCTGACCTATATTCATCTTCATGGCACTACACTAGACTGTAACCTCGTGCTGAAACACACATTTTAACTCAAACACACAGAGATACTCAGTCTTTAGATATCTTCAGATAAGTTTACTTCTATATGGCTTCTTGCTTTTGATACATTTGCTTCTGACATTGAAAACTTAAAGTGGACCTATTATGCTATATTGGAAAAATATATTGTAGGGCCATACCTATACAAAACATATCTGTGAAGTTTTTTGCTTCAAATACCAAACAGATCCCCCGTTGTAGCCATGCCTCATACTGCTCATACCCCTCTTTTGCAGCCCTGTTAGAGAAATGCGGATTTTGGGTCCTTAGCTTAAAAAAAAAAAAGGAGGAGGAGGCAGAGCTAATGCCTGATCAGAATTCTACCAGAGATAAAGTTAAATTCTGCTGTGATAAACGCCATCCTGTTCTAAACCACATCAAGGATTATTTCTGAAACTGTGGAGCTCAAATTATTTTTCTCTTGCGGGTTTATCACAAGGTGAGTTCCTTTTTTTAAATGTCCTGCTTTTTAAACACAAGTGCTCTACAACAGGGGTTCCCAACCCCCGGGCGAGGTGTTACTGCCGGGCCGCGAAATAGCTGTGAGTTTATCGTAATATTTGCAGAATTATAAATATATAAAAATATTTTATCATAATGTTTTTTTCAAAAAGTGTTTAATTTTCGCACCTATACCAGTCATATTATTGCATCCAGTAGCTAGTTAAACTTTCACCAGAAAACAGTTGAAAATGGCTTTTATGATGTTCCGAGGGATTTGGCGGGTCAGCCTAAGGTCTCAGCCTCTTGTTCGCACGAGAAAGTTACCGGTGCGCCAAGTAGGAAGAGGAGCACACAGGAGACAACCGTTTGATTGCAGACTGTTATGTTTATGTGGGGAAATGGCAGTGCATACATTATTTGAAATATATTTCAAACTCTGACTTTATTTTAAGGACATGTCGGCCAGGGGTGTAGAGCTATTTGTTTAAACACCGGATTGGCAAAACAGGAGAGTAAACCAGTCTGCCTTGATCTATGAATTCATGTCTGGGACTCTCACAGTATCTGCTGCCCGCAGCTGTTTTATAGAAGGAAAACCTCCTTCACTTCATGAAATGGCTGCAGCATCAGGAGGCAGCGGGACGTGTAACTCCGCCTCTGAGAAGTGCAGCACCAGCGCGCCGAGAGCTGTGCCTTTTTACGCACCGCCTTCACTGTGTTTACAGAACAGCTTAAGAGTGACTGCAGGCTGCTACGTGTTAACCACACACACCTCTACACACACACACACCTCTACACACACACACACACCTCTACACATATCGAACTGCCTGATTATTCCCCCTATTACTCGTTTTATGAAGGCGATGTCCGGTCACCAAGGCGCATGATGTGTGTGTGCACCGGAACGAACGACACTATCATAATATCTTCTGAAAACAAATGCCAGACACACACACACACACACACACACACACACCCTGGCGACAGGACATCTCCTTCATAATGCGCCTTCTCCTCGTTTTCCCTGCATTCACTGGATTATCTGTAAATTATACAAACAAAACCAAAACGTTGATTTATCTGTTTTCCCATTTTGGTTTAAAAACTGAATAACGTCGGTTTTCTGGTTTTCCGAAAAACACCGGTCCTTTTTTTTCTTTTTTTTAACGTTAATATGTTTTGGATGCATTTTGTTCTAGTATTTGTTCAGGCTGTTACATACAATTAGTCTCTGTTGCTACCTGCTGGTGAGTAAATATTAAAATCAGGTAAAATTGACAACCGGTCCGCGTTTTTTTTTTTATGCATCTGCCGGTCCTTGGCACAATAAAGGTTGGGAACCCCTGCTCTACAGTACAGGTTAGCTCTGAGTGTTAGCGAGGCTCTGCTTATGTAAACAAAGACGAGATTACGTCCAAAACACGTCGGGCATTGTTTCTGATAGCAACTTTCCGTGGGTCCGCCGCCGATTTGACGTCATATCGGCAGCAAATCTGTATCCGCTCATTGTACCTCTGTTTTTAAAAGATAAGGGCCCTATGTCAACCATTTTTTGAGATCTGACTGGAAGATTTTTTTTTTTAGGTCTGATATTAAAGTCAGAACTCTGAGAACATTTCTGAATTCTGGGGAAAACGTTAGAATTCTGACTCTTTTTTTCCTCAGGATTCTAAGATAAAATTCAGAATTCTCAAGTTTTTCTCAGAATTTTCCCCAAAATGTTGACTTTATTCTCAGAAGTAAAATAATCTTTTTTTTTTATTCAGGTCTATATCCCAAAAGAAACCTAGTCCTCTTCCCTATGTAACAGATCATTTGAATGTTTTCATTTAAAATGTCAATCTTTAGTTGATTTATGTAGTTAACCCTTTTTTTTTATTTCAATGGGAGGTCCAGTAAGCAGATAACTGTATTTGTATATCGTAAGAAAGCGTCACATTGAAGTGTTTTCCATTAAGTCTATGTAGTCCTTGCGGCATAACAATTTAATTAGGTCTTCCCCTTAGAAATAGCCATACGTTCCCATTGATCTACTACATTATTAGAAAGGGACATATGGAACGCTTTCCTATAAAAGCATGGATGCTCTTGTCCTTGTATAACTATATACCTGTTTTCTGTCCTGTATTTTTCAATGTGAATTGACGCATCAATGGTTTGTAACACTATGTGTACCAGTCAGCTGTTTTCTGGATGTGTAAAGAATGGGTGGAGATGAGAACATGTGCTGTAGGGCTAACAGTGGTGAATAATTTAGCATCTCTTCTCGTCTTTCACTGCCTTTAGGATCGGACTCCTTTTATGTGTATTACATTGTGTTTGTAGTCGTGACACTGTGGATCCCGTTTCCTAGAAAAGTAGTTCTCAAAGTGGGTGACACGGTTCTCTAGGCTGCCTTGAGGATAGGCCAAAGGTGCCATAAGATTTCACCTCATAAAAAGGGAAAGGCAAATTGAAGTTCAGCCTATTAGGAAAGCTGTTTAAAACGTAGCTAATGACACTCACAGTTGGTGGTTGTCCTTGAAATACAACACACTCTCCGGGTCAGGAGTTTTTCAGGAGCTCGGCAACAAAAAGTGACCGTGAGTGAGTAGTGAAGTGAATTTAGCCATTTCTTAAATTATTTCTGGATTACTCCGCCACCACACAACCTTGGAGGGTTCAAGCTAGGCAAGCACAAAAGAAAATAATTAAATGTAGGAAAGAGCGCTTAACAATAACTCACCCTACAATAACTCAGACTAATCTGAACATAAAGTATCCGTTATTACACGGGGGTCATTTTTGGGAGGGAAACGTCTAAATCTTTAGTTTTGTACATGTTGGCCTTAACATGGTATAGTAGCATAGGTATACATATTGTTGTATACATGTTATACTGTATATAGGAGTACAAAGTACACAGTTTTACTTTAAATCTTTAATTTAATTGTATCTTTTATGAACATTTTAATTTGCCTTCCTTTGTTAATAAAATAATTAATTTTTTTGTGCACAATCTTACTTTAACCTATGTGTGTATACATTTTTATTTTCATTCAAAATGAGAAAATGTCACCAAACATATATAAATTGTAACACCAGGTGAACAGTTTTTCTTCAACTGCTTACATTTATATACATACTTTTAAATAGTGTTTTACTGGACATTTTACTTTCATTTTCTATGTCTAAATAAATATCTTAAAATAATAATAAATATATAATTTATTTGATTAATGTCATTTTGTGTGTACATTCTTATTTATATATATTTTTATTATTTCATTCTCAAAGGTCCCCTATTATACTGTTTTTCATCAATATATTATAGGTCTCGGATATATACAAAACATGTCTCTGAAGTGTTTGGCTCCAAATACCAAACAGATCATTGCAGCATTACCCATAATCCCCTCTGTTTCAGCCCTGTTTCAAAAGTGCTGATTCTCTGTCTGTTACTTTAGATTAAAAATAAGGAGCCCCTCCCCACGCCCCTCTGAGAGATATTTGGTTAGAAAGAACACAATGGTGCTCTAGGAGGAGATTCAGGTGATAGGGACGGGGGGGCCAAAATTTGATCAGCTCATTTTCAGACAGGTTTTTATATAAATGGATCAGGACAAAAAGAGAGAGAATCTTTTTGTCCTGAAACTTTCAGAACCTCTTTACACAGAGGGGACACATGTTGATGTATAAGAGACATGAACAAGTGGATTTTGCATAATAGGTGACCTTTAAATGGAGAAAATGTCACATAACCCACTTTCCTTCAGGATTTATAAAGTAGGCTTGTTCCTATTCTGACAAGACTGTATAATATATAATGCATCCATATCAAATATCAGTGACGTCACCCATGGCTTTTAAAGACCTGTCCCTCAAAGCCTAATAATGTGTGACTTCAAGCTTTACCAGGGGTGTGTCAAAGGTTACAGTTGTCATGAATTGAAATATTCACGTTCTTTTTCTGTCAGAATCTTTCCATACGATGTTTTCCAACCAGGCAGCTTGTTGCTTATTAAACATCCTAACCCTAAGAGGTGGGATCTGGATTGTGACTATGATGTCTTTAAATTAAATTGACCCTTTTTCAATTTTCTCCACCTACAGACGAGGACTGAATCCACCCCACAGAGTCAAGTCCATCTCCATGACAACTTTTACGCAACAGGAAATCGAGTACTTACAGAAACACGGCAATGAGGTAAAGCGTGATGGTGACTGAACTTCCTGTTAAAGTTGTTATGATTGAGGTCAGCTCTCCTGCTGCTTCTGAGGGTATGCAAATCATCGCAATCATGCTAGTGTTTTGTCTATCTAAAGCTGTTTTAATCAATGTTTTATAGTAACCTTTAGTCTAGTTTCCCCGCAGTGAGTTTTGATAAAACCCCGCAGCTTTATTCAGACATTTAGTTTTCTGGGTTTGATTAAAGCTGCTTGGTTGAGCTTCACAGTCCTCATCAACCTTGTGTTCGCCAGCATCAGACACCTGTTTCAGTTAATAGTATACTACTAGGGCTGCACGATATTGGAAAAAACTGATATTGCGATATATTTTTTTTTCCCCCTGCGATATGAACAGGAATTGAAGAAAAGACCGTTTTTTTTGTCCCCAAACCATCCTTTCTTGAACTTTAATGCTATACAATTGGTATTTTTCTAACTATATTTAACCAGATGAAGGATTTTAGTCACGGACGTCTGGATCTTAAGTTATCAGAGCAACAAGCTGAGCTAGCTCGGTTAGCAGCGCCGAACTGCCCTGGAGAAACACATGAAACTACTTCATTCAGTGTTTTTACCTTTTAATCACCGGGTCCGTTTGCTTTGGAGATTTGATTGTGATTGGTGGTTTGGTGTCACTCACTCAAGTACCCCTGACATGAGAGCCGCGCAAGTTTTCCTTGTGTAGCAAGCAGCAAAAGAATTGTAACATGACGTGTTTGAGTTAATTTGCCTACTTAATATCGCACATCGTAAATAAAATAATAATATTACGTCCTGCGATGTGAATATCGCGCATGTACATATCGCGATTATCGTCACGACACGATATATCGTGCAGCCCTATATACGACCTGTCCAACTCAAACAAGAAGACAAATAATAATAATACCGATTGAAATACAACATTTTTATATAGCGCTTTTCCCAGTGCTCCAAGACGGTTTACAAGCAATCAGAAAAGAACCACAAAAATAAAAGTCCTCATCCAAGTGAAAGAAGAAATGTGTTAAATTGAAGTAAAGAAAGTTATCAACAAGCCGGGGAAGAAAGCCGAACAAGACTCAGATACTTTCTCTGGGGTTACAGAAGGTCTGGAGAACTGGATGCTCGGTGAATTTCATTTTTTAAACTTTCATCAGACCGAGTCACCGAGAAACTCACAAGGATTATTAGCTGCTCTGGGTCTGTTGGATTAAAAGTAGTCCATTGCTTGCTCACATATTTCAGTTTGCCTTGCTATTAAAAGGTGCATTGAATTCCAATGACCTACTTGAGTTAATTACCCAAACATTAAATGCATAAAATGAATACATACTTAGTAGAGTAGCAAACACAAATGTGTTCTCCACAGAGGAACCCAAGTGCATTCTCATTCACGGGTCATTTCTGGTAAACGGGGTATAAAATTAGAGCGACGCCACCTGGGGAGAACAAACTATTAAAAGCTGCGGCAGAGGCACGGCAGGAGACTCAAGGTTGGAGCTGATGCATACGTCCTTTATGTCGGCTATATAAATATTACCGCCCTAAAGTTGCCTTTTGCTTCTCCTCAGGGCGTGCTTGACACATGGCTTTTGTATTTTTTCTGCATTTGCACATTTTACTAATTAAAAAATCTAAGCTGGCCTCTTCAGCAAATCCAGCTAAAGAAATAACAGCAGCAGCAGAAGCTTATATACAACATAAGAGTCACACTCCCTTGTAGCACCATAGCTTCATTTACAATGCAGCAGCCTATACCGAGGGCACACACGCATGAAGCTTATAAATGTCTCTTTAGAGGATTAGGCAAATACTTTAGGAATGCTTTCAAAAACCCAAAGGCCAGAGAAAGGTTAGACTTAGACAGATTTTGCATATCAGAGCTGTGTCGAGCCTGTGTTTCCTAACATGAGGCCAAGAAGTTTGTTTGTGCCGGCACCACATACACACTCATTCACCTGTAATGGACCACCTTATCTGATTTGCACAGTCAAATTTGGAAATATAAATGAATGCTCTTCTCAAATCAACCTGCGCCTAAAGGTGGAGTCAGCGATTCTAATCAAATACACACGTTCAGTACAAATATTTCTTCATGGACTGTTGCCTGTCTGTAAAACATGTGTTGTCCATACTTAGCCCTGGCTCTAAAAGAGAAACGGGCACAGCCACACAACACTATTCCAAAAAATGTGCGAAAATTAAGGCTATTAAAAAGTATTAAAAAGTATTAAACGGCATTTTCCAAGGTATTACATTTTGTAGCTTGTTTTCAATAAGTATATAAATTGTCCAAAGAGGTTGTATTCTACAGTCTGCCTGAATGTAATCATTGCGTAGGTGTGTAGTGTGATTCTGTGTAGTTTATTTATGGCATCCCGTTGGATTTGACGTCATCAGAACAGGACACGCGCGAAGGTCCGTTTACGCCGGTTGTTAAGCAACATCGTTATGGGGAAATGAAAGTTTGCGTCCAAATGGTTGGAAGATAAGGAGGAAGGACAATCAATACTGTATATAGTCAATGTGAGGTAAAGTGTGTCGCCAATGTAACCGGTTAAAGGTAGGGTAGGTACGTTTGAGAAACCAGCTCGTGATCGCTAGAATTTGAAAATACACAACCGGAGAAAATCTGCCCCTTCCTTACAGAGCCCCTCCTCCAACACACACGAACGCGCACATGACCAATGAGGGCACGAGATAAGTTTGTGCACAGATGAAAGGCTGACAGGCAGGTAGGCCATCCAGTTATTTTAGCCGGGCCGGCTCAGATGATTGGACGTACTTTTTACAGTACTACAGCTTCCACAGATGAAATCTTTTTATGGATTTTTTGTCAAAGCACTTCAGATATTCATTGCTATCGGGATGTTAAGAGCATTCCATGGAATATAACAAAAAGTGTATCTCGAGCCGGTTTCTCAAACTTACCTACCCCACCTTTAAGACTCAAAGTGGCGATGAGGTCTTAAAATGTATGGAAAGGGTCTTAAAGGTCTTATAAGGTTTTACATTTGACTTCAGGATTCCTGCATATACCCTGGGTAAACATTAATATGCAACATTACGGGAGGTAATTTCTTTAAATTGAGCAAAACATCTTGAATAAATTGTGGTTTTCAAAGTTCACTGTGACCTCACAAAACACATTTTTTGTCATCATTAAAGAATAAATATCTTATTTATGACAACTCATACAAATGTCTACGAGGACGGACATGGATATGTTGAGCTGGGTGGGATTTCTAGTCTAGTTCAAATTAAACTTAAAGGTGGGGTAGGTAATTCACTTCAGAAACACTTTTTGTTATATTCCATGGAATGCTCTTCACATCCCGATAGCAATGAATATATTAAATGCTTTGACAATAAGAAATATTTCATCTGTTGAAGCCGTGGCGCTGTAAAAAGTACGACCAATCATCTGAGCCGGCCCGGGTAAAAATAACTGGATGGCCTACCTGCCTGTCAGCCTTCCATCTTGTGCACAAACTTATCTCGTGCCCTCATTGGTCATGTGCGCGTTCGTGTGTGTTGGAGGAGGGGCTCTGTAAGGAAGTCTGAAGGAAGGGGCAGATTTCTTTCGGCTGCGTACTTTCAAATTCTAGCGCACTCGAGCTGGTTTCTCCATTCTTACCTACCCTACCTTTTATATCTTATTTATGACAATTCATACAAATGTCTACTAGGGCGGACATGGATATGTTGAGCTGGGGTGGGATTTCTAGTCTAGTTCAAATTTAAGCTTAAAATCTTTTGGGTATCGGACTGAAAAAAAAGCCACATTTTTAAAAACATCATTTGTTTTTATGTTGAGAAACTTTGCTGGACATTTTATCGAACACACAACTCATAGGTTAGTCTAGTAGTCAGCAGAACTAATCATTAATGGAAATACATTAACTGCAGCCCTGGTCTATGGATGATTAACTGTATAATCTCTGTGTTTACCCGTAGCATATCTTTTAAATTCCTTCTCTCACTAACAATTTAATGCTTAAATATGAATGTTGACAAGCGTGCACACATTTATTTCTCTGTGTCTCATCTGTTCTGCTACCCTGTGTGTTTTCCAGGTATGTAAACGGATCTGGCTGAGCCTCTATGATGACAGAACCACCTCAGTACCAGACTTCAGAGAACCGCAGAAGGTCAAGGAGTTTCTTCAAGAGAAATACGAGAAAAAGAGATGGTAAGTCAGTTTTACAATCTGGCAGTGTGAGATATGAAGGATCCTCTGGCACCGCGCTGACACGTTAGCTCTTCTTTGTCTCACAGGCAGCTCGTAGCATTTAGCCTCCAGCTATCCACCAGATAGCCCAATGTAGGTCACTACAGTCAAGATGCTTCATGTGTAAGATCTTGTTGTTCAGTGTTATGATTGTGCTTAAACATTTATGAAGTTTAGTACAGTTGTGACTGTTGCGTGAATGGCCGAAGGGGAGTCAAACAAGTGCCTATTAAATGCAAATTAGGGATTGCTCATCAAAGTAAATATTTCCTAAGTGACTCAGTTGGTTTCAGTAATTAGACTGTTTCAATATACATAAGATTATTACACCCATTGGTTAAGGCAGTTCTGCTTCTGTGGGCTCTGACTGTTCATTCTCGGACGTTAGAGTAATGAGCAGGGCATGTCTCAACGTGACACCATTTGGCCTTTTTTTTACTTTTCACACAGACGTTCCCCTGAAACACCGACCTGTCTGCTCGCTTTAAATCACATTTCCAACCAAATGAGCCTTTCCTGTTTTCACATTTGGATTTTGCAAAATGCTTAACAAGACTGTACACGGCCTTATTTTTGAAAACCCTCGATCGTGTCACATCTTGTTATTCCGTAAGGCATTAGCCAGTTTCATGTAGTGTAGTCAAGCTTTGGGAGTAACGGATGACATGCAACGGGATTACATAATCAGGATGCAAAAATAGTTGCATAAATGGTAAATGGACTGTACTTATATAGCGCTTTATCCAGTCTTTACGACCGCTCAAAGCGCTTGACATACTACATGTCATTCACCCATTCACACCCATGCATACAGAGCAGTGTACCTTACTCTAGGAACTAACATTCATACACATTCACACACCGTTGGCCATCGGGAGCAACTCAGGGTTAAGTATCTTGCCCAAGGATACATCGACATGTTGGCTGCACGGGCTGGGATCGAACCCACAACCTTCTGGTTGAAAGACGACCACACTCCCTCGCAGCCACAGTCGCCCTTAAAAATACATATATAAAATTGTTTAAATCAGATTACTATTACACGTCTAAAAATTGGCGATTACTAGCAGGATTACAGTGTTAAAAAAGCAAACATATAGTGTTTGTTGTAAAAGGATCAGATGTTACTGTTAGATGTAAGCTGTACTGTTCTGTAGGATAATACTTTAAGTGTGTATCTAAACACCTACAGCCTGAATCTGCTTTATGGTTTTCACTTTCTTTGGTTCATTTGTTCTGTTTTTAATTCAGCAGGTGAACCTATATGTTCATAAAATAGTGTGTGTGAGCTTAACTGTGTGTTTTTAAACTAAAACGGAGAATTTTCTCTCAGCTCAGATTTCACTTCTGCTTTTTGAAACTGTAGTATGTGCTCGTGTGTTTCATTGCTGGTGTATAGGCTGCTGCTTGAATATGCTTCATGAAAGACAGGTTTCCCTTTAGATTAAAATCTCTGAGCAGAGGACACATTTGTGATCCTAAAGATGTTGGTTTCTTCTTTTCTAAGGTCACATTGTTCTGTGGTTTTACATAAGAATATTAAGTCAAATTCATCTTGATGATATTGCATTTGATACTGACGTAATCCAAAAGTTACACAAAGTAATCGGGTTACATTTATTTTATATGTTGATACTCAGATGACTGATTACATGTTTTTACAGGTAACTAGTAACTGTGACAGGACACATTTTTAAAGTATCCCTCCCACCCTTTCCCAGGCACGTTCCTCCAGAGCAGGCGAAGTCCGCGGCCCCCGTCCACGCTTCTATCTCCGGCTCCTCCAACAGCAGCACCAGCAGCACCCCCGAGGTCAGACCCCTCAAATCTCTGCTGGGGGAGTCTGCCCCCTCCCTGCACCTCAACAAGAACACCCCCCCTAACCAGGTGAGATTCATGTGGCCTACATACGATACGATATTACTTTTAATGGTCAGATCAAGACTGAAATGTGACTTGCATCACAGCAGCTCCATGTGTAACATCAACATAGACAAATATCAGGACACAGTACATCAAAAAACAACAACAAACATTTAACATAACAGTGCGATCACGGAGAGAAAACATGCTCAAAGACCCTTTAGCGTGCATTTGATCTGGGATTCATCTCTGTATTTACTGTGAGGATTGACTGGAGCACAAAGGATGCTTCAGTCTGACTTTATTGAATCGCGGGACCCTGTATCTCCGATTAGATGGATTTGTTACTGCTGTCAGAAACCCATGAAGGGCTGGTAACATTTGATAAATGTACTTAAAACAACTTGAGTATTTGAATTCCTTAAAGGGTTTTATTGTTATCAATGTCTTAGTCTACCCACCGACACTGATTTAATTTTTCCTTGCTTTTTATATGAATACTTAGACATTGAAAACATAATGACAGACACACTTGTAATTGTGAATTTTAACAATGTACATTTCCCCTCTGTGGGACTCAATCTCAATCTCAATCTCAATCTTTATTTATTTATATAGCACATTTAAAACAACCTTCAGTTGACCAAAGTGCTGTACACGCAATAAATATTAAATAACACAATGGGAGTACAATAATTAAAAACATGATAAAAAGCACAATAACTAGAAAAATATTTTTTTATAAAAACACATACAAATGTAAAAATGTAATGTTCAACTAGTATTAAAAGACTAATAAAGGTATTCTGATTCTGACTTCCTGTCAAAAGGCCTATTCTTATTCTTCCTTAGTCAAGTGAAGGTTGTTCAATTACACCTTTTATTCGTACTGACAAACATATACATATTTTCTAACTCCATCTCTTGCCTGCCCCAGTCTCCAGTGGTGAGCCGTGGACAGAGCCAGCAGCAGCAGCAGCAGTTCCACGACAAGAGGTTCGACCTCCTCAGTGAACTGGGGGGAGACATCTTCGCTGCTCCGCCCAACATGAACGCCGGAGCCAGCTCCAGTTTTGCTAACTTTGCACATTTCAACAGTCACACAAGTAAGGAACAGACTGATTGTTTGACTCGCATACATCTGTAACAGAGTGCAGGAGTTGAGCAATAATTTAGGGTTGGGTGTGCCTTTTTAAATGTGGAAGTTGTGTCTGTCACATTAGGCCCCATTTTAGCACTTTTCCTTTCCTGTGGTTTTTGTGCATGAAAAGGAACGGGACCTTTCTAAACGGTTGACCAATCACAACAGAGCCGGACAGCTAACCAATCAGAGCAGACTGGGCTCTGGTTTCAGACATTTCAAATGCTTAAGGTGATTAAGTAGACACTGATCCATCGCCTCTTATAGTCTCTGGCAGATGTTTGAGATGCAGAAACTGTAACATTTCACAATCACTAACTACATTATGGAATAGTCTATGGACAGGCACATCTCCATGGTAACTAATGCTCTGTACCTAGAGATATTGGTGTTTGCTTCTGTTGGAGGATAATGTCCTCTCATCCCAATAAAAGAGCCATACAGACTCATCCGTAATGCTGCGACAAAAGTGGATCTCCACAAAGCAAACACAAGCACAACTGTACATCTGTGTTTAGTGCTACACACACATTTAGAGTTATAGGGTCTGCAGAGTGAATCTAATGAGAGGTGGGGAAAATCCGACCATCTTTCCCGCCTCTTAAGCCGCATTTTATTGTCATGTGACACCGCTCTATGATTTGTCTTTCACATCATCAGCACTTAATCCATTATATTTGCAGTCTGTCATCCATGCCATTTGTCATTACATGTATAAATCCATTCTGTCATCCATTGTTTTCCTCTCATTGTGTTTTTTTTTTTTGTTCATCTGTGTGTCTGAACCTCATCCTGACTCCACCTCAGCTGCACAGAGTGCCAACGCAAATGCAAACTTTGCTAATTTTGATGCGTTCGGGAGCACATCTGGGTCCTCAGGTGGCTTCCCCTCAGCACCACAAGCCCAATTCCAACCCTCAAATACAGGTAGAGCAAGCTCCCTTCCCCGGACACATTGCACACATCCAAACCACTCTTACACTAAGACATTCGCTTGTGTTATTAAACGCATGCATGTATTCGAGAATATACATCTAGGCTCAACACAAGGCCATGTTTTCTGTCATTTCATGTCATGTTGCCATTTGTGTTTTAACTGTTGTAATGCATACCATCTGTTCCCCTAACCTTTCCATACTCTGTGCTGTTCATTCATCTGGTGTCACATGTTAAAGTGTTCTGAGCACTCCACTGCAGACAGATTAGAAGCATTTGCTCTAAGCACCACTTTTAGCATATCACTATTTTGTCCTACTTAAAAAGAAAAAAAAAAAAGCTTCATTTTACATTTGATACACGCTGGGTTATTTCTGGTTACTCATCTGTGTGAAATGTCAACAACAAACCTATTTTTATGAGGCAAGAATCTGTTGTTCTCCAGAGTTTTGAACTACTACCCTTTTTAAAACTGAATGTTGGGCAATCAGACAAACATATTACATTAGACGCTTTTATCCAAAGCGACTTACATACTCAATACTGTGGACAATCCCCACAGGAGCAATTTGGGGTGAAGTGTCTTGCCCAGGGACACAACGACATGCTGACTGCAGTGGGGTTTGAACCTGTGCTCCCCCGATCCGAACACCAACGCACAAACCACTGCGCCACACGCCTCCATATCATTAATATGCAAACACATTTCTCTTTGATAGAAAGATAAAAGAGGAATTTATTTCCCATAGTAGGTGCATTGATAGCACAGAAGACATCAAAACTAGACACAAGTGAACTCTCATCACACCACAGACTGGATTCCTTATCAGATACACTCATTAGGAATAACATTAGAAGGATATCTGGACCTGAACACCAGGGTTTTACTGTTGTAATACTGGCCACACTGCTTATGTTCCTATAGGATTTCATAAATACATATTAGGGGCTTAACATAAGTGCAAATATTTGCAGCTCCACTGTGTATTTTGCGCAGTCACCAGTTAAAGAGGACTATTGAGCTTTTTGGGGGTTTTCCCGTTCCCTTAGTGTGTTTATATACGTTTTTGTGCATGTAAATGGTCTGCAAAGGCTACAATTCCAAAATTCCCTCTCCCACACACTCCTATTTAAACTGCTTGTCTTCTGAAGCTGGCATTTGTATTCTGTGGTTTACAAAAAATACAAGACTGCAAACTGTTGTCCACCTTTTCCCTGTGTGTGTCATTCGGGTCCTTATTTGCCTCCAAGCCATTCTCATTTCAAGTCAATATTTGCTCAGCAGTCACTAGCTCTTTACCTGAACCTCCTCTGTCACATACTATATACTAAAACAGTGACTGTCATAAACAAACACACAGCCTCCTCCCCTCCTCAGTTACATGTAGTATGCTACAACGCCCTCTGCTGGAGATAAACATGAATAACTCTTGAGTGGAGCTGCAGTGCGATCTCTTTACCCCTAGATTCCACCGGGTTCGTCTGCGTCGCGTTACGGGGGCGAGGCGTTGCAGAGGCGCCGGGCAGGAAGTGGACCGGTCAGAGCATCCGGCCCATCCCCAAAATAAACTAATTTTGCAGACCCTATCCCTCCGTAGTCTTTCAAGTAGGAGGAGAAATGCCAGCGTTCTCCTCCGGTTTACAGGCACTGTGTAAATTATATATATAGAATAATTATGATGATGAATGCATTTTTTTACCACTAAAATACAGCAACACATCTTTGATTCATGTCGTTTATAACTGGAATATTACAGTTATTATTAACTTTGTCTGTACAAAGTAGCCTGTCCAGGAAATATGCCCAAATCAACAAGAACTGCGAGCCGGCAGGCAAGACGCTCCGCTTCTGAAATGCTTCTGAAACGCGCCTGGTAGGGTATGACGCCGGAGGAGGCCGGACTAAAACCGCGACGCAGACGGACCCGGTGGAATCGAGGGGTTACGGCCCGTCCACGCGGTGGCGTGCGTTGAAGCTTCAACGCTTCTGCCCATTCACTTTGAATGGGGTGACGTCACACTTTGCCGAACTGCATTGTGGGAGCGTCGCTTCTCTTTGCTCGCATTGCTCGCTTCAAAGGTTGAGCAATGTTCAACTTTTGAAGCTTCGACGGAAGCGTCAGCCAATCAAATCATATGCCAGTACAAGCTCTAGCCAATCAAACCGCGTGCTTGTGTCCGGGGCGGGAGATTCATGTGATTGGTTGGTGGTCGAGTTTCAGACTCGCCCGCCGGCAAGCTTCAACGCACAGTGACGCGTCCTAAAACCCGGAAGTAAACTCCTTCCGGTTCCTTTGACAAAAACGCAATGCAATTTCTCCATAGGATTTTGGAAAATAGCTGGAAATAAGGTCTGTGGTTGAAACACATTTAAGAGACCGATCACATTTTGTTCAGCCGGATAATCTCCACATGTCTACCCTACTTTTATAATTTTTCGAAATCATAAATCTAGTTGCCAGAAGCAAAATGCTAACGTTATGCTATGAACGAACTACAGCAGGGTCGCTGCTTCAACGTCACGCCAACTTAAGATCCATATTCAAAAATACAGATTCTAAATGGTACAAGTTGAAGTGTTTGTTTGAACAGTTTGCAGGAGGCAGGTACTTGCTTTCAAGCAGAACACGGGGAAACACAAACTTAGAGGAGTGTTTACGTGTTCGGTGTAATGACGTACAACGGCCTCGACAACTTCTGTAGTCCTATTCAGCCACTTGTTAACAACCATCGTTTTTCAGACACGTCAACTCTTCAGAAATCACCAGTGGGGTCACTGCTGATGTATTTAATGTCGTAGAACAAAACGTGATCCGTCTCTTCAATGTGTCTCAACCACAGACCTTATTTCCAGCTATTTTCCTAAATCCTATGGAGAAATCCCATTGCTTTTTTGTCGAAGGAACCGGAAGTGGTACAATGCTAACTTACTTCCGGGTTGTAGGACGCGTCACTGTGGCACTCTATTGCTTGATGGATAAAAGCTTCCCTCTCTATCTCTTGGCTTTGTAAGATAATCCCTTTCTCACTTACACTCACTCACTGAGCGATCTGGCCTAAGCTGTTCATACTATCTCATGTGTTTGTTTGTCACCCTCTGCGTCAGATTTGCTTTGACTTCATGCTTTCTAATCTTTTAGTTGACGTCTTTTTATTTTTGTTTCTCCGCCCTGTCATCGCTCATTGCCCCATTTCTCCCCCCCTCTTATCATTTGGGCTGCCAGCGTTCACTGTGCTCTCATCCAGTCGCAGTTTGGGTGAGTTTGCCCCCGCCCTGCCTCTCCAGGTTGCACACAGTAAGTCTCTCTCTCTCTGTGGGCTTGACCTCTTAACAGCTTTCACCCTTTTTCCAACATCTAACGTGTAAACACTCTGATCCTCCTCTCCTCCGGCTGTGATGTGTCTCCGCATGTGGCTCTTTTTGTGTCTGTAACCAGGGTGTCCGCGGAGTCTTAAAAAGTATTAAAAGTTGATAGCCTTAATTTTCGCTAAATTGATTTATTAAAAAGTATTAAACGGCATTTTCCAAGGTATTACATTTTGTAGCTTGTTTTCAATAAGTATATCAATTGTCCAAAGAGATTGTATTCTACAGTCTGCCTGAATGTAATCATTGCGTAGGTGTGTAGTGTGATTCTGTGTAGTTTATTTATGGCATCCCGTTGGATTGGACGTCATCAGAACAGGACATCGCACGCTCACTGCTTGATAGCGCGCGAAGGTCCGTTTACGCCGGTTGTTAAACAACATCGTTATGGGGAAATGCAAGTCTGCGTCCAAATGGTTGGAAGATAAGGAGGAAGGACAATCAATACTGTATATAGTAAATGTGAGGTAAAGTGTGTCGCCAAGGTAACCGGTTAAAACTGGAAGTGGCGATGAGGTCTTAAAATGTATGGAAAGGGTCTTAAAAAAGGTCTTAAAAGGTCTTACATTTGACTTCAGGATTCCTGCATATACCCTGGTAACTCTGAATCACTGTCGACAATAAGCTGTCATTATAGTGAACCATTGTGGAGAATAGACCATGTGGAACTACAAGAGAATAGAACAAAGTGAAATATGAAATGAAAAGAACAGGATCAAATGGACATTGATAAAAACTAATGTTGCGCTATAATTAGATAACACAAAAACCCTTTGTCCTTGAAGTCTATTCCATTCGTTATTGATAGAAAAATGAATGCATACAAAAAGATGCATGCCAGATAGTACCTGTCCTTGTGTTAAAGGTAGTTGTATAACAAATATTCAAGGGTATGCAATTAAAGAAATTGTTCAGTTTGATTAAATGGTTTGATGGTTTCAGTGTCACTACGTAAAATTGCCTTCCCTCAACGTTGGGATAACAAAGAATAGAGTGGTGCAGGAATGAGTCCTAAAACTGGAAATTAGTTAGCATTTAAGCACTAGCATTTTAGCTAGCTTTCTTGTTCCCTCCTCTCAAAATCAACGTTTTTTTTTATCACGCGTTTGTTGGTAGAAGCCTGAAGTAAGGTCTGCGGTAAACACAAGCATTATATATTTTTACATGCTTTGTTTTATGACATTAAATACCCAATTCCTGAATATCTGAAACTCCACTGTGTCATAAAAAGACAACGAAACGTCAGCATGCCAAACATTAGCCGCCTTTAGCTTAGCGGTGGTGACTGTGGTGTCGTTTTGTCTATAGCTTAACGTTAGCATTTTACTGAGATTAGCTTGCTTTTTTCACCAGTGTTCAAAGTGTTTTTGTCACGCTGTGGTAAAATGTTGTGGTGTATCAATCCTCTTGTTGCATACCAAGCAAATCAGTTCTCCCTGAATGATTTCTTGAGTATGCTGCTTGAGATGAAGCAATATATGTTCTGATTTCCAGCCCTCTCAGACTACCCCAACATCCTCACCCACACGTCCGTACAGAAGCAGCAGCCATTGCTCCACAAAAATCCATATTTCAAAATGTCTCTCTTAATCCTCATCTTGTATCTGCTTACAAAAAACATAAGTGCTGACTTTAGTGGCGTCCATGTTAACCTCCATATATGACAACCTGCTGTGATATCTTTACGTGTCTTTACGTTTTCCCATCAAACCTAAAATGTAAAAAAAAAACAGTGTTAGCAGAAGGGCTGCACGATTTGGAGAAAAAAGCGAATTGTGATTATTTTGAATGATAATGCATTGCTAGAAAATTATTATAACATTATTCATATCATTACAACATTTTTGTACGTGGTATGATCTTTTTAAGAGGATCCGTTGCTTTACCAAATCTTGCACTTACTGCGATTTGGATATGTATCATATTGCAAAAGTCAATTTTGGTGATTTTGATAAAGTTAAGATATGAAACGGAGGCAAAAGGCCCTAAATCCGTCTTGGTGTAAAACATAAAACCTGTATGACCCAAATATCTAGCGGTACAATGCTAAGCAATTCCTGAAAAGGTGATATGCATCGTGTGCCTCTTATCAATGTGAATTCTATGCATTCGTTTTAAAGGCTAATGGAGAGCTAGCATAGTGCAGACATCTTTTAGACATCTATCCACTAGATAATGAAGGCAACTCCTCCACAACTTGACCCTCCATGCAGCTTCTTCTCCCCCTCTCCACCCTATTGATGCTGTTACTCCAGAGAAAAAACAATCGAGGCCCCCTTTATGACTTTTTAATCTCTCTCTCTCTCATGCAGGTAGCGCCTCAGGGGGCAAATGCAAGTTTTGCACATTTTGACAACTTCCCAAAATCGTGTCGCGCTGTCTTTGGATCCTTCAGTTCTCCCTCCCAGAGTAACTCCACAGCAGCTGGCAGAGAAGCTGTACAGAGTACTAGCCTCCCTGCTGATAAATACGCAGTCCTGGCTGACCTGGATAACGTGTTGTTAAGCTCTGCCGAAACGGAGCAAGGTAACCCTCTCCTGCCTCGCCTGTTTATAGACCTAGTGTAGGGACAGATGTTACCCAAAAAGAGAAGTAGTCTCAACAAAAGTGCATTGATTCAAGTCCCTTTGATTCTTCTTCCAACTGCAGGGACAGACCTAGATTCTATCTCAAAGAGGCTGATTCTGTATCACTTACATTTCGGCTAATCCGAGGCTTTGATGTGTTTTGAGATGCCTTTCAAAAGTGGATCAGTGCTGCTGAACCTCAACCAGCCTGTATAGAGACAACAAGCCACTGCACACGGTGGAAACACCTCCCTGTTTTACATATTTATTTCATTTCATCTCTGAAATGTACTGGGCTGGAGCTCAATACTGTATTTCTTTGCTATACATTCTAATGATGATCATTTATTTCCCATTATCTTGAATAGGTTCAATATGGCAGCTATCTCCGGACCTTTCTTTTTGTGTCTTTTACAATTAGGATTGAGCTCCTATATTAGTCGATGTGACGGGGATTGAACCGGGCTATCTTGTGTTTCTCTTGCAGGAGCCGGTCTTGCTGCTGGGGGGGGCTCGGCAGGAGTAGGGGGTCCGCCTCAGAGGCAGCCAGGAGTCCCTGCAGGGTGCGACCGCTACGCTGCTCTGGCTGAGCTGGACACTGTGTTCGGACCCTCAGTCCCTCCCACCAGTGTTTACAACCCCACCAGCACCTCTCAAGGGTGAGACCACACACACACACACACACACACACACACACACACACACACACGTAAACACATACTGTATATACACAAAAAACAGTGCATATATAAAAACTTTCCCTGTAATATGAGAATAAGAGAATTAGATTTTATGATTTCTCCATAAGTTACAATAAACCACACACACACACACACACACACACACTGCAGTACATCCCTTGCTAGAGGGGGACCAAAAATAATAACCTACTACTAAATTGACCTATTTTTCATACTTATTTTGGGATTCACTAGAACATAATGTGCTTGTTGATTTGTCTAAAACAGGGGTGTCAAACTCAAATACACAGTGGGCCAAAATAAAAAAATCGGTACTAGTCGAGGGCCGGACTGGTTCAATGTTTATTGTAGAACTTATTGAAATGAACTTATTGCACATATTAAACCTGGAACTAACAACGCTGAAATGATTGCCTATAAAAACAACATTAAACATTAAATAATCAGTGACATTCATTTCTTATGGCTCTATCTGCAGCTTTTCCAGAGTCATTTCTTATGATTACATTTTTCCACAGGCCAACAACAGCTTCAAGAAAACTATTTCCCTCAAAGAACAAACCAAACATGCCCTGTTGTCGTGAGAAAGAAAGTGCAGAAGGAAACATCCATGTAAACTCAGTGTGCTGCTCTGTGACGCTAGTTCAAGCCAGATACTTGGCATCTCATCTTGGGTGCAAGGTCATCAATGTTTGGGGTCAGGCTCTGAGCTGAGGAAACCCTCAGGATTGAGTGAAGGTGTGCGTGCAATATACCGGCGGGCCAGATATAATAGTAATTACAAATTATCCTGCGGGCCGAAATTAAATCCACCAAGGGCCTGATTTGGCCCCCGGGCCTTGAGTTTGACACATGTGGTCTAAAACAATGTGTAAAATAACATTAACACCATCTGGCAATTCTCACTAACAAAGTTGCTTTCTCAAACAACTTCCTCATCCTATAAACACACAGGGACCACTGTCTAATCAAACCGTTGTCTCCGGTATTTTTGTTTGCTGCTTTCGTAATAAACTAATTCTTGTTGCCTGTGTTTCTCAGCCGGAGTGTGTTTGGCACAGAGAGTGGGATGTCCGCAGCACAAGCACAGCAGGCCCTGCCTGGGATGGCTCAAGGATTTGGAGGTGAGGGAACCTTCTGTTTTCTGATGGTTTGTGACTACTGTTCTCCAAATAAAGAATCTGTGATCATTCAGAAAGTTAATTGGGAAACAAGAGGGAATCCCAGCAGTGTCATTACAGCTACACTCAGTGGGTGGGAATCGGCAGTTGACAAATTCTGTTCCCTTTTGGCATTAGTTTTTGTGATGCCAAAGACGAGATGAAGAATTGAATCTTTAAAGAAAATGGGCTGTAACGTTTTATTGCAAGTTGTTGCATAATGTACAAAGCTTTTTTTATTCATATAAGATACATATTTACAGATAAGGTGCAAGGCTTGAAGCATAAACGGATAGGGTGCAGGGTTTAGGCATATATAAGTTAAATACAGTCTTAATCAATATTAAATACAGAAGTCAAAAGGGGCATTACATTGTTTTGCTGATGCTTTTATCCAAAGCGACTTACCTCAATACCTTGGAGCAAAGAATATCTGTCCTGTGAATCATTGCTTTGGTTTTTACCATGTTAACGAGCCACTCACTGTTCTGCATAACCCTCTGTACGTGTTTGGTGACCTCATACCTCTCTCCAACAGCTCAGTCAACCAATCCGTTTGTAGCGGCCCCGGCAGCCCCTCCCACAAACCCCTTCCAGAGCAACGGCAGGACGGCCCACATGGCGGCAGCGGCGGCGGCGGCAGCAGCAGGTGTGTTTGTGTGTGTTGGTGTGTTGTGGTGCAATGCTACAGAATCACAATCAAATGTATGCAACAATATCATAGAATCAAATCATTTTAGCACAGAGGCAACCGATCAGGGAAAAATTGGAAAACGTTAATATAGAAAAGTGCTGAAAAGTAATTCTGCCCACTGTGAAAATGGGCATCCGCCGTTAAGTGGTGTGTGTGTGCCAGAGATGTGAAAGTTACAGCAACTCAACAGCAGAGTTTCAGTTTTCTGTCTGATTGCTCTTGGCATGCTGCACAGGCCTGATGGGGGTAATTCATGGGCAGGGTTACCCCCCCACCTATGGTAGGTTCACTTCTGCTCTCCTGTGCCTTGCTGTTGCAGTGCTTTCTTCTTCCTTCAGCATATCTATCAGGAACATGTTGACAGTCAGAATAAGGGTGTGATGAAACACTAGGTAACTAGTTGGTATTAGGATGCTTAAACTCTTACTACTTTTAAATCCAGGCTGAAGACTTTTCTTTTTGCCGCTGCTTTTAATTGAACTATTCACATCTTAAACTGCACTGTAACTTTTAACTTTTATCCATGTATTTTTTCTTTTAATGTTTATTTTATTATCTTTTCTTTTTAATGACTGATTTTAAATGCCATTTTCAAAATGTCTTCCATTTTTGTAAAGCACTTTGAATTGCCTTGTGTTGAAAGGTGCTATATAAATAAACTTGCCTTGCCTTGCCTTGCCTTGCCTTAAAGGTGGGGTAGGTAATTCACTTCAGAAACACTTGTTATATTCCATGGAATGCTCTTAACATCCCGATAGCAATGAATACATTAAATGCTTTGACAATAAATAGATAAAAAAAAATGTGTGTTGGAGGAGGGGCTCTGTAAGGAAGTCTGAAGGAAGGGGCAGATTTTTTTTCGGCTGCGTACTTTCAAATTCTAGCCCACTCGAGCTGGTTTCTCCATTCTTACCTACCCTTTAAATCTGAGTGTCAAATGAATTCTGCTACTTGAATCTTTAAAAAAACATGTTACTTTTGTCAAACAGCCATCATAATTTCATATAGAGAATATAATGTGTCCGGCAGTGGCTCAGTCAGTAGGAGGCTCGGACTGGGAGCCGTAGGGTCGCTGGATCAAGTCTCCGACCAGATCTAAAATATGGAGTGTGGACTGCTACTTGGAGAGGTCCCAGTTCACCTCCTGCCCTGCCGTGGTGCCCTTGAGCAAGGCACCGGACACCCCCCCTTCCCCCCTCACTCCCATTTGCTCCCCGGGCGCTGTACAATAGCTGCCCACTGCTCCTAGTACTAGACTCCTGGTGCTAGGATGGGTTAAATGCAGAGGCCAAATTTCACCGTGTGTGCTGTGTGCTCTGCATGTGTGACCATTAAAGAGGGGTTTCATCCCTCCCAATTCTATTCTATCTATAATGTTATTATGACTAAAGAATTGTCATGACATGTTGGGTTCCTCTTCCTTTGGTCAGTTAGGAACAGGCTTAAACTCTTTGCTGCTTTTCGAAGACATTCATCTGTAATCACTATTACTATTTGTTCACTCATTTAAGTTTACTAAATGATTAAAAAAAAATATGAGTGCTTTGCTTCCTAACAAACTAATGTCATAACACATTCATTTTTAGATTTTATAATGTCTGTTATTTAGTGTAATGCCTGTTGACTGACTGTCCTGCTTCGTTGCAGCATCTTTCGGCACAGGCTCCATGAGTATGCCCGCTGGATTTGGGAATGTGGCAGCCTTCAACCTCCCCACCAGCTTCAGTGGAACATTCCAGCAGCCTTTCCCGGGGCAGGCCCCCTTCCCTCAGCCCCCGGCGTACCCCCAGCAACCCAACGGTGTGTGTTACTGTGTGCATCATGTAGATATAGACGTATCTGTAATAACAACTACACGGAATTTCAAGCTTGCAAGGGTTCTGACATTACTGTATGCACCTCCATCGATTTAAAATGCCACCATAGGTTTGTTTATTTAAAGGGGACCTATCATGCAAAATGCACTTTTGTACGTCTTTTATACATGAATATGTGTCCCCGGTGTTCCAGGGAACTCACCAAGTGTCAGAAAACACAACCCTCTCTATTTTCCTCCATACCCAAATCTCTAAAAAAGGGGCTGCAACGGATCTGATAAAAACTGATCCAGATTTGAACACTGTCCTGACGTCAGGACGGTGGCGCTACGGCTATTGGGCCAACTCCACCAATCAGGAGGAGACAGCCACGGCCATTGCCGTTCGTAAGCGCGGGAGACGCTGTAGTACATATGCCAGGCCTGTAGATGGTGCTGTTCTCACTGAATCAACCCTTGCAAAAACAGCTAAAAAATGTCAAATTGAGCAAAATGAGGCATGGCTAAAATGCATGATCTGTTTGGTATTTAAAAAAAAAAAAAAGTATAAATATGCCTTATATAGGTATGGTCCTACACTATATTATTCAAATATAGCATGATAGGTCCACTTTAAATATGAGTAAAGGATTCCCAGAGTCAAAACCAAACACTGAGAAGCAGCGTTCTGTTATTATGCTCCAAATACCTGAAGCATAATAACTACCAGAGAATCTCAGAGACTTTTCTTTTTGCTGCTGCCTTTTATTTAACCAAATAACTCATCTCACACTTTACCCATCTTATTCTATTTGAACTTGTTTGATTTGTTTTCTCTTGGCTCTTAAATTACTCTTTTAAATAAAATGTTATGTGTTTCTTTAAATGTTTTTTTTTAAAGCATTGCCCTATTGTTGAAATGTTCCCTAATGATAACGTACCTGTGTTTCAGGCGGAGGATTTGCAGCCTTCGGCCAGGCCAAGCCCGTTGGCACTCCATTCGGACAAACAATGTCCGGACCTATGATCTCCAGCAACCCCTTCCTGGTTAGTCAAATATCTTTATTTCTTGTAGAAACAATTTAGTTATAATTCTCCTACAGTAGAATGAAGGGGCTTCTGTCACATTAGCATTGGCTGTTGTTGATGGAGATTATGCTGTTACCTTATTACCATAGATTTGAGTTATATTAAAAAGACCAATTGATTGCAAAAAACTAGAGCTGTGAAATGAACGCTGCAAATTCATCTCTTAGTTAATGGTGTAAATAATATGTAAAGAGTGCACAGACGTCCCTGCAGTAATATTGCCGACATACACCTCTGACAAGTTATATCACTCTGTCACTTATGCAAGTAAATAGTATGTTAAAAAGTTTAATTTAAACCAATAAAGTAATTTTTAAAACCTCATAGTATGTACTTTTCCAAGCAAATATTGTTTTTAATTGTTCTGACGATCAGCATATCTAATGCTTTCAATTTACGTCAATTAAAGCCCTAGAAGAAGCACTAGTGGTTGGAATATATACTCTTTGATTGTGGATTTACGTTAACTCTCAAAACTAGAAATCAAAGTTATTAGTTACTCCTTCTGATTGTGTGTTTGTGTGTCCTTTGACCTTTCAGGGTGCGGCTCCGTCTGCTCAGTATCCAGCAGGAGGCTCTTCAACGAACCCCTTCTTATAGCGATCCCTCCGCTCCGCTCCACTACAGGGTCAACAACTGGCGCGCTTGCACCTATTGCACCGTTTGTTTCACAAGTAGCTTTAAACACAATGTTTGTAAGGATTTGTATTTTCTATCGCAGTTTGTCACAAGGGATATGACAGAGCGTCATGCTGACACTGTCCATGGCTACAAAACAAAGTGATGGTGTGTGCAGAGGGAGAGGACGGTCCCCCCCCTTCTCTATTTAACCTGTGAACTGGCCTGGCCTCGACTGAAACACAATGTATAATCAAACTGGCTGAAAACTAAGTTATTGTAACAGTATATCCCATTCGTTATGCTGCAACTTTGTACATAATTCATTTTTCTTTTAGCGCTTTTGTGCATATCAGTATTTGTATCTAACACACAATATTTGTTCAGACAGATCCGTTGCTTCTTGGTAAGTTAATGGGTACCGCCACTTACTGTATTTGTGAAGAACCAACTGTTTAAATGTGCGGGTTGCTTTTTAGGTAAACTGTTGCCTACGGTGGCCGAGAGGTGCCAACGTGCTTCAGCGGACCAAAACATTTCCATTAGGAGAAACGCACTGCAACCTCAAAATCGAAATGTATAAACACAAATGTGCCAAAACACATGCAAGTGAAGAAATATCTTTACAAACTTGACGAAACGTGCACCGGGTTTACTAAAAAAACGCTGCATACCAGGGGACACTAAAAAGTGACGCACACAGCTGGGACCGGAGAGCTTGTGGACGTTCGGGGATTATAAAGTTGGCATACTGTCACTGTTGAGAGTTTAGTCTGTTTCATAATTGTTAGCGTTTTGTCAGTATATTTGAATTAAGTCAATAAGATTGACTTTATTGATCCCAATTCAGGAGATGTTTTCGTCACAGCAACATGTGAACAAGACATAATGTGAAAATAAAAAAAGAGGAGAAGCTAAACAAATATACACATACAATAAATCTAAACTATACAAAAATACACATATTGACAGTGAAATATATATATCTGTAAATGACTAAGTTAGCTACGTTGGCTAGTTAGCTTAGAGCAAATCGGCATGTCTTAAGTTGGCGAGAGGTTTCTTCATTTGCATGTGTTTGCACATTTGTGTTTTTATATTCACATCATTTTTGGAAACTGCAGCTTGCTTCCCCTAATGGAAATGTGTTGGGTCGGTGTAACGCGTTTGCACCTGTCAGCCGCCGTAGGTCTCCCATAAGAAAAAAAAAAAAAAAACCCTATTCTGTTTGCGAGAGATTAAGAAGTGTCTGCGTCGTCAGGGACGGGCGGGGGTCTCATTTCTCTGCCTCTTCCCCTCCTGCTGACAGAGGGTCACAAAGCTTCTGAAATCCTGTCGAGAATGGCTGCTGGGCTGAAAACCACTTGCATTAGGGTATTAGAGAATTTTAAGTTAATGTGTAAATATATACAGTATATATATATATTAAAATGAATTTTAAATAAGAAGAAATGACCAAACCATTCATTTATTGATGTATGGAGAATCGTGTACATTTGTTTTGTATATATATCTATATATAGATATAGATATAGATATATATATATATAAAAAAATATATATATTTATATTCATGGTGTTGCAGTCGGCAGTAATTTGAAGCTTTTAACTCTGCAAAGTGAAATCCCATGTATTCAGAATTTGTGTTCGTCACAGTCCGGAGGGTCATTTCTGACGGCAGCAGTGGACTCTTTGTTGCGTCTCCAAATGGTAAAAAGTCCCCGAAGTGAGAAAACGACAGCGATGAGTGAGAAGTAGCTGGCGTATATGGTGAACTGCAACAAAAAAACACCATCACTTCATCTGCAGAAGACCTGAGTGACATTTTCTGATCTGCCTCCTCACCTGAGGAATGATGCCCAGGCCCAGCCCTCTGCTGTCCACCACCACAGAGGTGATGATGGTCTGCAAAGCCAACGCTCCAAAGTTATTCGCTCCAAACACCAGAGCATACCTCTCCATCGTCAGGTCGGCTGCAATCTGGTACCTAAAAGGGAAGGATTGTTTACTTAAATGCACGATTTCCTGTTCTGCCTGCAATAATAAACACGTCTCCCTTTTTGATAAGACACACTTACATGGCTATTGTTATCAGCAGCATGTACAGGCACTTGAATACGATGTAACCGGCGTAGCAGACCCAGATGTTACTGATGAAGGTCATGAGGAAGAGTGCTGCTGCTCCGAGTCCAGAGAAACCCCCGAGAGCCAGCTCCCCCCACTGATCCCACCTCACCTCCGTGAAGCCGATACCGTACGCTGTGGCTGCTCCTGCAAAAACACCCATCTGGTTTTTACTGAGAAAATGGGTTTGATATATATAGCACCAAAGCCCTTTTTGTAATCAGTGACATACTTTGAATATGGTTTAATAGAAATATTTTTAGCTTTTTTATCTTAGAATTAGAATTACTGGTAATTTACTTCAGTATTTTATTTTTATGTGAGGGGAAAACATACTTTTTGCTGAACCACATTGCTTAGAAATTCAGACTTTTACACACAAAAATATGAACTGCATGAAATATTTGTTTTAATGTAGATTAAACACCAATATTATATTTAATTACCCAAGACAATGAGTGAGTTGACATCAAATGATGTCATACTAAGCAAAAAAAAAGCTATTTTGATAATTGTTTTCTTCACTTGTTCATAAATAATTTCATAGTTCGAGCTTATCAAACATGAATATTTCTGCTTTCCTGCAATGGGTACTTTTACTCTTACTACTTCAACTACGTTTTCCTGGTCATACTTTAACTGAAGTACCATTATCAATTATGGATCTTCACATGTAATGGACATGTGATTTGATTTAAGCAAAGGATCTGCATACTTTCCACTGGATGTTGCTCACCTAACAGGTTGGACACTGCCTCCACGCCTCCATTGTAGATGCTGCCATTTTGAGAAGGCTGCACATGCTCCCACAGAACCTGCAATTTACATTACTCAGATAATTAAGTAGAGGCACAAAATACCAATATGAACCTGAAAAGAGCATACTAGGGCCCCATTTAAAGGGCTCACTATGCAAACCAAGCCGGTGTACAGCTGAACATTTTCGTTTTCTTGCTTTGACAACTGACCTGCACATAGTTGGCTGTCTGGTTGTAGCCGCAGGTGGCCATCGCCCACCACACTGACCAGTAGAGCAGCTGTCTGGAGGAGTAGCACTGGATGAAGTCCCTCCACAGCTGGAGGAGGACTTGGCTGCAGCTTCCCGCACCAACCTCAAGGTCCTTATCCTTTTCATCAACTCCTTCTCCTGCTTCTTTCTCCACCATTTCATCTCTTGGTTCCTCCAGGGAGACCTTTGCTCTCCATGAGTGTTCTGTTGAATCCTCAGTCCCATCTCCATGCGTCTTTGTCCCCTCTGTCACTGTTTTATTTCTGTGGAAAAACATGCTCTGCCGTGGCATTGGCAGGAGGCAGGCCACGAGGAGAGCGATGGAGGTGAGAACCAGAGTGAGCACCAGGATGTTGTCGTAGGACATGAGCTCGAAGCTGAGCAGCAGCTGGCCCAGCACGGAGCCCACGGTGTAGCCCAGCAGCTGCACACTGCGGCAGTAAGACGTGGCCTTCCTGTAGCGCTTCAGATCCACCACACTGTAAGGAAGAAATGCAACATGACATGACAATCCCAACAAAGCACAATGTAACCCCCTGGTACCTCCCCGTATTCAAACCCTTTTCTTGAGTGGAAGTACCAATGCATTGATGTCAAGATACTCCATTACAAGTTCTACATTCAAAATCTTTAAGTAAAAATACAGAAGAGTATCATCAGCAAAGAAGTTTAAACATTTTCTCCATATGTGATATTATATATCTGACATGATTACATTTTAAATATTGTTGCATCAAGTAGCATTTTACTGTTTGAAATGCACAGTATTTTATCTCTTTGTACCTTTTACAGTTATGTCTATAGACACATTATGTTTAAAGTTTATCATGTGTTATTATTGCAATATCTTCATCCGTGAAGTAACTAAAGCTGTCTCATATAGGAAAAAGTAGAGTAGTGCAACATTTAGCTTGCCTGATGTAGAGGTATAAAGTAGCATTAAATGGAAAACCTTAAGTAAAAATAACTCAAACTTCTATTTAAAGATGATATTATGCTCAATTTCAGGTTCATATTTCTACTGTGACAGTCCATGTAAACATTTATAAAAAAAACATATACTTTTAAAAGACTTAAAATTGTCAAAACTCAAGAAATTGTGTTAATCAAGGATGGTACAGTGGTGGTATGAATGTGGCTTTCTGTCAGACACCTTGATAGCTCTCTTGTACAGCTGTTCTATGGGTTTCAGGTTTGTGGCACAAGCAAACGACCAGTTTGTAAAACAGTATTCAATGTGGGATAGAATCATACAGTGGAGGTATGACTTTGCAGCATTGACAGTTAAGAAAGGTCTGATTTGTTTAACATTTTGCAAGTTGAATTTAATGGTATTGGATACTTTCTTGATATGTTTCTTAAAAGTCAAGTTCGAGTCCATTATGACTCCAAGATACTTGAAGTGGGGGACTAGTTCTATTTCTGCTCCGTTTAAAAACACTCTTTAAGTACAGTACTTCAGTATACTGTACTCAGTTACTTTCCACCACTGCCAGTATTGGTGCCTTGCTCTGCATGTTCAAGCCGAGATAATGAGTCACGAACCAACCAGACAAATCAGGATTTTATCTTTAATGTCCTTGCATTATCAGCAGTAATTGCAGCTTTATTGTGCTGTTTCATTTAGATTAGATGATTGTAAAGATAATATCAAAAATATCCGTATGGTCAGTCAGCAATAAGCATAATGTCAAAAAAGGTGCAAGACTTTTTTAGTTGTCAGATGTTACAAAACAGACACTCAAATTTGTATTTAAAGTTGATATTATGCTCAATTTCAGGTTCATATTTGTATTTTGTGCCTCTACTGGGACATGTCTCTAAAAACTTTAGGGTTGTAGCCTTTGCAGACCATTTACATGCACAAAAACCTATAACACACTAGGAAAACCCCAAGAAGCATATAGGGCCTCTTTAAGTGCAGTCCGGGGCGCCGCCAGGGATTTTGGGCCCCATGAAAAGATATCACATTGGTTACTTAAACATTTTTTTCTTAATGTTCTAAAATTGTTTCGGCCCCTGTCAGTCATGGGCCCTTAGAATCGTCCTAACTTTTCACCCCCTTATGGCGCCCCTGAGTACAGTACTTGAGTATACTGTACTCAGTTACTTTCCACCACTGCCAGTTTTAGTGCCTCGCTCAGCTCTTTGTGAATGACCTGTAGATGTAGGAGAAGTAGGCCACCTCGCTGGCTGTCATCACCCCGTAGCAGAACTGCATGGCCTGCATGGCTGCGACACTTCTGAGCCAGAGCAGCGTGGCCGTTGTGGCGAAGAGGGAGAGACACTGGAAAATAACTACCGGTTTGTACCGCAGCCAATCAGTGAGCAGGAACACCGGCACCAGCACAGAGAGGTACGAGTACGTCCACACCGGGAAAATATGGTTGTTCACCTGAAGAGGAAAAACCATAGATACGATATATGTACCAATGTATGACCCAATATGTATGTTCATTTTAATTTATTTCTTAATTCATCGTTTTTTTTCATTTGTATTGTTACCTTTGATTTTATCTTTAATTTTATTAATCTGTGGTGTCCTGTTTTTCATCCTTACCCTGTTGCTGTTTGAACTACTGAATTTCCCCACAGGGATTAATAAATGTCCATTTTATCTTATTTTATCTTATTTTATCTTACATGTTGACATGATCTGTACATAGCTAAATCGAAGGTTTTATGATACTGATTTTTATCGCTCAAGTAATGAGGATTGTACTGAAGTCTAAAAAGTGTTTCACCAACTTTGTTATTTTGTAAATGCAATTTCTGCAAATTCGAAAAGTAATCACGTTAGGCCTTCTAGCAGAGCAATGCAAAATATGGTTAATTACTTTCTTGATTAATCATTTGGGAAACCTTTAAGCAAAAATGTGAGACGACTAGTTTGTTTCAAGAAAATAACACACCAAGATATTTAGGGTCAAAAATGTGTCTATGTGCTCAGATGTTTTATTTATAGGAAAAACCTGCCTTTCATGAAGCATCTTCAGGCAGCAGCCTATACACCAACACTGAAACTCATGAGCACATACTACAGATAAAAAAAAAGCAGAAATAAAATCTGAGCTGACATAAAATGCTCCGTTTATTTTAATACACAGTTAAGCTCACACACACTATTTTATGACCATATAGGTTCACCTGCTGAATTAAAAAAAAGGACAAATGAACCAAAGAAAGTGAAAACCATGAAGCAGATTCTAGCAGTAGAAGTATTCACACTTAAAGTATTAGCATACAGAACAGAACAGCATACAGAGAAGAGATAACATCTGATCCTTTACAACAAACCATATGCTATTTTTTGTTTTTTACATTGTAATCCCGCTAGTAATCCACCATTTTTAGAAATAACAGTAATCTGATTACGTCTTTTTTTTATGTAAGTGATTACAGTTACCTATTTTTGTATCCTGATTACGTATTGCCTGATGATGAGCTGAAGTCATTTCTCTTTCTTACCTGTTCTATTGTCAGGTTCTTGTCCGGTCCGGTCAGGTAGGGGGTGAGGAAAGGCTCCAGGGGTTTCACTGTGCTGAAGAATCCGTAAATACACAGCAGAGTAGTGGGATACCTCCAGTCTGCCTGCCACCTCCTCACTGCCTCCATTTTCTGCCAGGTGTGTATTCTGTATGTGTTTTATGTTCCTCTGCATGCTACTCTTTTCCACACTGCCTCCTTGCCTGGAAACACTTCTGGTTGTCTGAAGTGTTGTTCTTGTTTTGTAAATCAACTACCCGGTCAAAGAGCAGTTCTCACCTGACGACGGTCAAATTCAAGCCGAGATAAACGTGACACGAACCAACGAGACACATCAAGACTTTGATGTCCTTGAATTATCAGTAGTAATTGCAGCTTTATTGTGCTGTTTGATTTAGATTAGATTATTGTAAAGGGAAATATCAAAAATATCACTATGGTCAGTCAGCAACAATGCATAAGCGAAATGGTGCAAAAAAAAGGTGCAAGCTGAAGACTTTTTTAGTTGTCAGATGTTACAAAACAGACAAGTATAGACAACAGCAGACAGGTCCTCACGTCAGTGAAAAAATCAAATGAGTTGCAATTTAAATATATTTTTTTAATGGGGATTTCTTTCTTTTGGGTTTATGTACGACCTAAGAACAGATGGGCCTTTTTTTTAAACACTGAGTGGCATATTTGCTCGCATGTAAAATGATTAAATTATATGTTGTTATCATTTTGTATCACATGTGCATTTTTCAATGTGTAGATCAACTCCCTCCAGTGTGAAGTATCGCCTACACTGAGATATATGGAAGAGGATAAGGGCCACGTGTGATTTATTTTAGATTTAACCAAAAGAGATTTTTATTTTAGTCTTGAGATTAAAATCAGAATTCTGACTTTTTTGTGAGAATTCGGAAATGTTTTCTACTTTTGTTAAGATCTCAAAAATAGTTCACTTGTTCATTGCTTTGTGTGAGTTCAGGATTTCTCTGATTTGTGCAGGCGGTGTATGTCCCTCTGATCAGAAAGAGCACTGAGATGAAGGCGTAGTAGCTGCCGTAGATGATGAACTGCAGGTAGAGCACTGAGTCAGTCAGCCATCCAAATCATCATTATTTTAGTCATGCAATGCATACATTTTCAAGAAACCTGTCTACATGTAATAGTGAAGGATAACCACAAGGTGTCGCCCTCTATTCACATTTTAGTTATCCAAAATAAATCTTACCTTCTTCCTCCAATTAGAGTTACATTCCCTGTGTTCTGTCATTGAAATAAAAAAGGACAGAAATGATTCCTGACGCACACACCTGTGTCACAATGTCCAGTCCCAGCGTAGCTTCATCAACGACTACAAGTGTTATAATGGTCTGCAGTAAAATGGCTACAAAAGTGTTGATACCGAAAGCCAGAGCGTAGCACTCCATGGAGAGGTTAGATGCAATCTGAAATCTAAAAAGATAAAAGTGTTATTAATATTTCAAAAAGAAAAAACCTGCCACAAATAGATATAAGCAATGCCAAATAGAGTTAAGAAAATAACATAAATAAACAGGACACTTTTCAAGCTAAAATTAGGTGAGTTTAGTACTTCAAGCTTTGTTCCTCAGTGAGGAATGAAACTAAGTACGTTTACTTAATGAATGTACTTGAGTAACATGCTGAGGTCCTTGTACTTCACTTTATGCTACTTAGTACTTTTACTCCACTAAATTCTGGAGGCAATTTTTACTTTTTACTCTACTACATTCATTTTATGGTTTAACCCTCCTGTTGTCTTCGGGTCAAATCTGACCGATTTACTACTTTCATCAATCATAACTTTTTTGTTTTACATTCGATTGCATTAAGGCTTTATGATATCCTTCACAGTAGACATTTGAACATATTAAATTGCTGATCACCACTTTCATTGAATTTTGGATGATTTAGTCAACTTTGTAACACCCATGGTGTTCCCGGTCAAAAATGACCACCATAAAGAAAAATAATTAGTAACCATCCAGATCAGATAAAACACACACACCAACACCCACCACACACACACACACACACACACACACACACACACACACACACACACACACACACACACACACACCACACACACACCACACACACACACACACACACACACACACACACACACTCTAAATGTGCGTCCCCCCTTATGTGCCCAATCCCCCCCATGTTAATCACACCTGGCACTCACAAACACACACACACACACACACACACACACACACACACACACACACACACACACAGACACACACACACACATTTCCCGCTCTTATGTGCCCATCCCCCCACATGGATCACACCTGGCACACGCAATACATGTTCAGTGTCTATTCTTTGTATATTTACTGCAGTTTTTCATGTATACCAGTAGTCTGATACAATATTTACAGTTTGAAAGGGTGTTAAATGAAATTTGGTGATGATTAATGGTTTTTGTGTTAATGTATTAGCAGTTAAAACAGGACCGGTCAAATTTGAACGCGAACACCAAAGTAAGGGGGGGGAAACGAAGACAATAGGAGGGTTAAGCTACAATTTGCTTTGTTAAGCTCCATCTTCTCCCCCTTGAATACAACATATTAATCCAATACAGTTTTAGCTACCCAGAATAAACAAAATAAAATGGAGAAATCAGAGAACTTATTCCACCACTGGTTCCTCCATATGCAGAGATATTGGTTTTTAAAAAAAACAAGAAACGGACACGGTGATATTCCACAGTGAGCTTACGTTGTGATAGTAATGAGGAGCATGTAGCAGGACTTGAATATGACATAACCAGCGTAGCACGCCCAGATGCTGCTGGTGAGCGCCATGAGAAACACAGCACCCGTCGCCACTGCAGAGAACAAGCCGAGCGCCAGCTCCCCCCACACCGCCCAGGTCACCTTCAGGTGGCCCACGGAGAAGGCTGCTACAGCACCTGTCCCACAGAGCAGAAGGGGTTATTAATCATCGGTAAGGTATTCCAGTGGACAACACCTCCATGATTCATTCACCCTTACACTTATTTATTTGAACGCAGCTCCTAAACTTATGCACACACGAGCCTCCGCAGCTTTCACCCGGCTCTTGGAATCCACTATCAGCAATAATCTGAGAATCCATTACCTCCTATCTCCATCTCCTTAATTGAAGCAATTACTCTTCTTCTTCTCATGCTGAGCCAGGTTGAGCGTAAGCCAAAAGAACCATGGTGCTGCCATTCCCTTTCTAAATTCACGTTTTCCATTTGAAAAATACCCACGTTTTCTTTCTATACTGTAGCAAGCTAGACAGGTCCACGTTCCATCAGACATGGCCGTTTTTAATTACATTGTTTTAGCTCTTTTTTTCCACTTTACTCTATAAAATGTGCTTGTGCTGCAGTCTTTGCCCCCCCCATAAAACATGTACAATCAAGGGTTAACCATGTAACCCATGTGAAAGCAACCTGCACTGCATGTACGACTTTCACTCGCACCTGCACATACCTTCATGTATATTTAACTACCCTTACGTATTATGTTCATTCAGCTGATCAGTGTTTTATCGTATGTTGGTATTGTTATTTCTATTCATATTCTTAAGTAAAAAAAAACCTACCACTCTACACAGACCAATAACAAAGTTCAAAGGGCTCTATTCTGCTCATTTTCAGGTTCATATTAGTATCTAGTGTCTCTACTGGGACATGTCTCCATGCTTTAATGTTCAAAAAGCTCTTTATTTTTCTCATAAAGCCTCTTTTCACCCTGTGTCTGAAACCAGAGCCCAATCTGCTCTGAGTGGTTAGCTGGCCGGCTCTGTTGTGATTGGTCAACCACTTACAGATGTCCCGCCCCTTAGGATATAATAAACAAAGGAGTCCCACAAACCTATATAACACACTATAGCAAATGGAAACCCCCAAAAAGCACATCTTCTTTAACTTAAAGGGGACTTATCATGCAAAATGCACTTTTGTACGTCTTTTATACATGAATATGTGTCCCCGGTGTTCCAGGGAACTCACCAAGTGTCAGAAAACACAACCCTCTCTATTTTCCTCCATACCCAAATCTCTAAAAAAGGGGCTGCAACGGATCTGATAAAAACTGATCCAGATTTGTACACTGTCCTGAAGTCAGGACGGTGGCGCTACGGCTATTGGGCCAACTCCACCAATCAGGAGGAGACAGCCACGGCCATTGCCGTTCGAAAGCGCTGGAGACGCTGTAGTACATATGCCAGGCCTGTAGATGGTGCTGTTCTCACAGAATCAGCCCTTGCAAAAACAGAGCTAACATTTTTCAAATTGAGCGAAATGAGGCATGGCTAAAATGCATGATCTGTTTGGTATTTTGAAAAAAAAAAAGTAGAAATATGCCTTATATAGGTATGGTCCTACACTATATTATTCAAATATAGCATGATAGGTCCACTTTAATTCTTTTTTTTTTGCTTATCTTAACTTCTGTGAGATTTCAGTGTCAAAAAGGCAACTTTCACTATTTTTTACAGGTGCTTTTGTGCATATTATTCTGAGCAAACTCCCAACTTTAGTTCATGATTGTTCATCCTGTTTTGACATGATGATGCTGAATCAGAATGAATAGGCTCAAATATGTTCCAACCAGAAATAGGAGCACCAAAATGTGTCTTTCTTTCTTTATGTTTATCTCTCTCTATTATTACAGACTTAAAGCGATTCTTACCCACAAGGGAGCAGGCAGCCTCCACCGCCCCGTTGTAGATGGATGAGGTAGCAGATGGCTCTATGTGGTCCCACATGAGCTGAACGTAGTTGAATATCTGCTCGTATCCAGCTGTGGCCAGAGCCCACCACAGAGACCAATAGATGACTTTCCTGCACGGTGGTCATTATTTAAACTGATTATAATCATGATGAAGAGATTGTGTGTTCATTTGCTGCAGTAAAATACATTGAACTATCATAAAGACAGGGTATGCAAACGTGTGTATGCTCACTAAAGGGTTATGGTTAAAATATATGAGAGAAAGAAATTGCCTTGAAGAATACGTCTCCTTGAAGCTCTGCCAGAGTAGATGGCCTGCAGTGGCCATATTTTCCCAGCTGTGCCATCCTCCGCTGCCATTAAGCTCCATCTTCTCGTTCCTGGAGCCGACTTCCTCCTTATCCATCACCGCTTCCTCAGGCCTGTCTGCTCCCAGAGGCCCGGTCTGATGGGAACTGGAGCCCACAGCTGCATCCTTTTTCCCTTTGAAGAACAGACCCCTCTGGGGCATGGGCAACCAGAAGGAGATGAGGAGAGCCATGCTTACAGTCCCCAGAGTGATCGCATTGAGGTAGAATAAATCCAATTCTGTGGATTAGAGTTCATACTTCATCAGTGCTCGCTCAAATTGTTGAAGACATTTCGTAAAAGGAGATCTTTATCGGTCTTTAAGAGTATCCATTATCTAAATAGGGCTATCTGATCATCTTTATATATTTACAGCAAAACAAATCGGAATATATATATCAATGTTTTTCAAGAATCAAGAAGAAACACATTGTTCTTCAGTTTTTATCGGTACATTTTTTAATTTAATCGTTTATTTGGCAGGGACAATGCACAGTAATGAACACTTAAAACATTCAAATGTGTCAAGCGTAACAGTGCCAGATTTAGCTTTGATCTCATTTCCATCCGCAGTCCCTCGTAAAGGCCCTACCTGCCACGGAGACCAGCACTTGGGCCAGGCTCGCTCCAAACGTATATCCAACCAGCATGGCACTGCGCAGGTAGCCAGTGGCTCTTTGGTAATTCTCAATGGGAATCACGCTGTAGATGTAGGAAAGGTAGGCCACCTCTGTGGAAGTCACTACAGCATAGTTGACCTGTTGGTGGGATGGAAGAGTTTAAATGAGAGCCTATGATGAAGCACCTTTTAACAGCAATGCACAACATGTTGTAATCTATCTTTAGAAGTTAGTTAGGTAATTTACAGTTCAGTGCTACGGTGGCAAATGCGCTATAACAGCCCAAAACTGATCCAATAGGAAAAACGCACTGCCGCTTCCAAAATAATGCAATAAAAAAACATAAATGTACCACAACACATGAAAATGAAAAAACATCACCAGTTTCACAACACAGCATTTAGAAAACATTCAAAAGCCAGACGAAACAAACATGCACAGCGTTTACTAGAAATCAAACCGTTGCAAGCAAGTAAATGCTCAAATCTGAACAAAAAATGGATTTAAAAAAAGTAACATGATGAGAGACATAATTAATAATCATCTTTATATTCATCAGTTGTATTGTGTACCTGAAGGAAGACCATAGCGAGCAGCCCTGGGGCGAAGCAGAGCAGGACGTAGTTGGTGACCAGGAAGAGACCCTGCACCACGACGAGGGGCTTGTGCCTCAGGAAGTCCGTCAGGAGGAAGACGGGCAAAAGACACGCCAGCTTGGAGTAGGTCCAGATCGGGAACAGGTAGTTGGTCACCTATCGGAGACAGTGGTGGGAAGTAACTCAGGACATCACTGTACATAAGTACTATGTTGTCATCCTTTACTTGACTATTTCCATTTGATGCTACTTTACACTTCCCTAACATTTTGAACAGTGATTGTACTTTTTACTCCACTGCAGTTATTTGACCCTTATAGTTACCAGCTGACACACATGACATTTCTATGTGATACAATGCAGTACATTACTACCAATTTATTTTTAAAAAGTAGGAAGGAATAATGTATTATTCTATAATATTATAATACTTTCAAAACAGCCAATGGGTACTTTTTGATTTTGATACTTGAAGTTCATTTAGCCGGCAATACTTCTACTTAATAAGAAACATTTTGAATTCAGGACTTTCACTTGTAATGAAGTATTTTCAGAGCAGAGTATTTCTACTTTTACTTAAGTAAAGGATCTAAATACTTATTTCACCACTAACAATCCTGATACAGGGAACATTAATGTTGTCTCCTGTCTATTACATGTGGTTCATGTACGGGTCTGACATGCTTACCACTTCTCCAGAGATGTTCTTGTGTGGTCCCATCAGGTATGGTGTGAGAAAAGGCTCTGCTACTCTGCAGTAGGCAAAGAACCCATAAAGCGACAGGACTGCAGTGGGAGAAGCCCAGCTGGAGGACTTCAGTTTAGCCCAGCTCCCCATGGTTTTACCTCAGCAGAATCTACCACAGATTGTCTTTAAAGTTTTGATTTCCGGTAACCTGAGCACATAATAAAGTCTGATATCTGTACTGTCCCTCTGTTCATCAAGCTGTCAGTAGTTGTAGTAGCTAGAATATACACATGTATAATCTGTGTGAGTCACAGTTTATGAGTGGTAGACTTCAACCTGTTGGGAAACAGAAGGAAGCTGGGAGTGATTCAGTGGACTTTCTTCAGGTTTCACTATCAGTACCACTAGTGAAATGTAACTAAGTGCATTTACTCAAGAACTGTACTTAAGTAGAATCTTAAATTCAGGATGTGTATTTAGTAGTATTTCTACTTTTACTACTTTAAACCCTTAATCAGTACAAGCCACAAGTCTCCCATTGATCATTTCAGACAAGACAAGAGATAATTTAAGAGAGAAATGAAAAGTATTGGTGGGCAAATTAAGTGTTGAAATAAGTTGACGCCCTGACCTTATGCAGCAGCACGAAGGTATTTATTATGAATAAGGTATGATAAGTAAGTGAGTAACCAAGTATTTAACTAAACAGCTGCACAAATAGCATTTAAATGCAAAATTGGGTATCAAAACCCCAAACAAAGTTAGTGTGTTGGGATTCGAACCTCTTGGCTTGCACTGGTATGAACAATTTGCAAAATGTTCTTTATTTTTTGTATAGCCTATTTCTTACTTAGTACTTCTTCAATTTCAATCGAAAATATCTGATTTTATAGCTTGAATGTTTGTTTTCGACAACTTGTCATTTCAATTCAGAAGCTGCACGTCTGTGTTCATACTGCGCATGCGTAGTGAGTGCTTCGGCCTGTGGCTATAGCAACGGTTTGTTGATAGTACGGTAACGTGGTAAAGAGACGATACTAGCAACATGAAACTCAAGCGGTTCCTTCTCAGATATTATCCTCCAGGTAAAACCAATAATTGAATGTGTCCTAACTGTAACTTACATTCCTTTAATGGAGGCAACATGGCACTGTGCTAGATAATATATGTTTTAACCTGCAATGCACACTAAAAAACATTATGTTGACTAGCTGTGTTAGCAATGATGCTAGCTGAAGTTACTGATTTTGTATTTATTCAGCCGGCATGAGTGGCCTTTCCTGGGTTGAGTCATTTCTCTTCTTGCAGGTATAATCTTGGAATATGAGAAAGGAGGATGTTTGAGGACCAAATCCATCGACCTTTTGGATTTGACTCCAGAGTGAGTGAGTTGTATCCATGAAGTCAACCAACTAACATCACAATGGTTTACTAAGTGTGTGATGCCATAATAACTTCCTGTGGGGGGTTGTTTTATCCTCAGTCACAAATACTGTCATTTTAACTAAGCTAGTCAGACATATCCATCGTGAACTCAGCTCTTTATATGATGGGTTTTTAACTAGTTAACCACGGTGAAGTTAGTTTTAGGTTGGATATTCCCAGTGGTGGAAGAAGTAGTCAGATTATTTACTTAAATTACACACGGCATCTATTGCACGTCTGTCCGTCCTGGGAGAGGGATCCCTCCTCTGTTGCTCTCCCTGAGGTTTCTCCCATGTTCCCCTTTAAACTGTGGGGGTTTCTCTGGAAGTTTTTCCTTGTACGATGTGAGGGTCTAAGGACAGAGGGTGTCGTATTGTCATACTGATATTCTGTACAAACTGTGAAGTCCACTGAGACAAATGTAACATTTGTGATATTGCGCTCTATAAATAAACATTGATTGATTGATTAAGTAAAAAATCAATAAGAAAGTGTTAAAACACTTAGTGAAGTCCTGAATTCGAAATTCTACTTAATAAGGAAAAGTATTACCATATAAAATATACTTCAAGTACCAAAAGTAGATTCAAGATTCAGGATTCAAGATATTTTATTTATTAAAAGTACTTATGCAGAAAGGCACATTAAAGCTCCATATATTTTTTATTTGTGGTGCATTAAGGTGTTCATCACTTCAGTAATGTACTTGGTTTATTTGAAATACTTATACTGGTTAGCTTAGCCTTTAATAATTTACGATAATGTGTCGATTTGTATAAAGTTCAAATCTTAATCTGCAAAGAAACGTAATATCTATAATACATGGAAAGGAGTAAAACTATTTTTTTATTGAAATTGTTATTTTTAATGTACTTGTTTACTTTTGAGATGATCCTTATGATCTAAAGTGTATACATGTGTAACAATAGCATTTCCACATGCAGGACGAGCCCAGATGAGTTGCTGGCAGAGATCCAGCAGTCGGAGCCTCTGATCACAGAGTCCCGGGCGGATCAGGTCAAACAGCTGATCGTCAGACTGCAGCAGAAACAGGGCCAGCAGGACCACCACCGCTTCTGCTTCTTCAAGGTCAGACCCCGGACTCACACTCGCAGCCATTAATACATAGATCAACACAGTGACATGACATCTGGACCCATTTAAAAAGCTCCTATTAGTGAAGGCAAAATTCTTTCAAGCGTTTTCCCTATATCGATATTCAGGATTTCAGGACATGTTGTACTATATATGGTTTTGTTTTATAAAAGTGTAGAACGCTATTTTATCTTTTGAATCATGAATTTACATCGGAATAAGAGAAGTTACAGAAACGCTTGTGGATTTTTACTCTTTGACATATTTAAGGGAGTTGACAATATTTTGGATATTGATATTTTTGGCAACATCATCTTACTTCCACTGTTTATCAGTGTCCTGTTTGTTGTTCTTTGTGAATTGACTTCTGTGGAAAGTTAGTAGTCTGAGTACTACAATGATCCAGTGCTCCAAAGAGGCACTAGAGAGCAGCAGTGGTTCAGTTTTTTTTTATTAGATGTAAGTGTTTTTTAAACCAAGTAGGCATGCCAATCATGATAACAGGTGCTTCATGAATGAAGTGTTTTGAGGAATACACAAAACATGATTTGGTAAAGGTTAAGTTTGGTAGTGTGGCTGGAAGTCATAGAAAAAAGTTAACACTGCTGAGAAACCTTTCTGTACTGTAAGCAGTGTTGGGCAAGTTACTTCCAAAATGTAATACAGTAGGCTACATATGTCTTTTTTTAAGTAATAAGTTACATTACAATATTACTGTCTCTGAAATGTAATGAGTTACATTACTTTTATATTACTTTTGGGTTACTTTACCTAAATAACCGCAAAAGAATGGCTAGGTATTTTAAATGCTAAAATGTAGTTTAGTGCACCTCATTATACATCCAGTGAAGGGCAATGTGGTATAGCATAACAACTGTGTAGGCCATTAAGGCTACTAACTACTTTTATTACACGGCTTAGTTGAATACTCGATTCTGATTGTAAATTCTTAACACTTGACATGTTGTTAATACAGTAGTACAGACCACTGTCAAGGACTATAATGAAGGTTGCTAAGGAGGATCAAGAAAGAGAAAGGAAAAGAGGTTAAAAGATGGAGCGCTAGACGTCAGATAAATCACCAGAAGAAGGCAGAGAGGAAGTAAACAATAACAGGAACACGGAATGGGCTCTATAGTTTATATATGGCCGTGTAATAAGCGGGATAATGTGCAGCGAGGCGGTCATTATGGGGAAAAGAACACCCGACAGGCTGATCAGGGAACCCGACGCGAAGCAGAGGGATCTTGATGAGCCTGAAGGGTAAACACCAGGCTTACTAATCTACCCACACAATGTTTCTCTGGTGTCGTCTCGCGATGTTGGTAAATCCTTAAAAAACAAAACACCATTTAATTTTGGGTTAAAATGAGTTGTAACTGCGTTACTGAGAATTGTAACAGGTAGTATTTGACCCACATTTCATTAGTAATGCGTTACATGACTTCGTTACAGCAAAAAGTAATACATTACTGTAACTCCGTTACTTTTGTAACGCGTTACACCCAACACTGACTGTAAGGAGAGAAAGTTCTTTAAACCGGAAGGAAAATGGTCTCCCAATTACATCAGAGTCAGATGAATAATTTGTGGGTACTACATTCATAATTTTATAATTTTTAATTGGGCATATGGTCTTTAAAATGTGCTGCAATCGTGCTTCAGTTGTACGTGTATGTTTTATTGCAATGCCTTCAGCCTGACAGGGTCCCTTCTTAAATAAATAAATAAAATACCAATACATTTTACCTTTTTTATTTTTCTAATCTTTTCTCTGGTCTTCTGTTGTAGGAGCTGAAGGCACACATCCTGCCTCTGACAAACGTTGCCTTCGACAAATCAGGGTCAAGGTGGGTTTATCTGCACCACACAGAGCTCTTCAAGGGATTCAAAAGAGGCCCTGTGTGGTGATTTGAGTGTTGTACTCCTCTCTGCAGGTTCATCACTGGGAGCTATGACAGGACGTGCAGAGTTTGGGACACGGCCTCGGGCTCAGAGCTGCACACGTTAGAGGGGCACAGAAACGTGGTGTATGCCATCGCATTCAACAACCCCTACGGGTAAGGAAGATTGTCAGTGAAACTGTCGTAGCATCGGAGGAAATGTTCTGTGTTTGACTGTTTTATCGTTCTCTGACTTAGAGACAAGATTGCCACCGGCTCTTTTGATAAGACGGCCAAGCTGTGGTGTGCTGAGACGGGCAAATGTTTTCACACCTTTCGCGGACACACTGCAGAAATAGTATGTATAACAATCTGTTTAAATGAAAATGATTAAATGCTGTTTGTTTCAAATGTTAAAGGCAATGCATTTGCTATAGGCGACTGCATATAGTCAGTGTTTATGCAATATCATTTGTATTCTGCAAGTCCCTTCGGTATGGCTTTTATATTGCATTGTTTATTTGTAATACAATGCAGCACTTATGAAGTAAATTGTTCAGGCAGTATTGGAAGAAGTACTCATATCCTTTATTTAAGTAAAAGTACAAATACTATGGTCTTAGACATTACAAGTAAAATGTCCTGATTTCAAGATCTTACATAAGTAAAAGTACAAAAGTAATCGCCTCAACATATACTTAAAGTACAAAAAGTACTTATTCTGCACAATGGCCAATTTCTGAATAATATAAAGTACAGAAATACTATCAGCTAAATGTACTTCAAGTATCAAAAGTAAAAGTACTCGTTATACAGAAATGGATCTTTTCACAGTATTATGGTTATTATATAATCCAGTTTTCATGTGAGAGCATTTTAGCATTGTCGGTGTGGACTAAAGTTAGATACTTGATTAGTAGTACAGGACTTCATTATACCATATCAGCCTATCATGTGTTTTTATATGTATCAAGTTACTACTAACTGTGAGTGTAAAATAAATGTAGTGGCATAAGAAGTACAGTATTTGTCTCTGAAATGTAACGGAGTAAAAGTATAATGAAGCATTAGATGGAAATACTCTTTTATTTGTAATATTATTATTACTATTATTTTATTATTTATTTTTCGGATTTGTCATCTGTTATGTAGTTAATCTATGTATCTAGATGTGTTTATTTTGTTCTGCATGCCTTCTGAATATTTTCTTAAAATGCAAATAAAATTAAAAATTAAAAAATTAAAATGGAAATACTCAAGTTAAGTACAAATATGTAAAAAAAAAAGTACCATACTTTAGTAAATGTGCTCTCCCTCCCTGTGTGTAGGTGTGCCTGGCCTTTAACCCCCAGAGCACGCTGGTGGCCACGGGCAGCATGGACGCCTCTGCCAAGCTGTGGGACGTGGAGACGGGGGACGAGGTGGCCACGCTGACCGTGCGTAATATTCTCTTTACCTCTTTGATCCTGGTATCCATCCATCCATTAATAACACACTGCTTAACTTTTCATCCACTTCTAAAAGTAATTATCCCTAAATTGAGTCTAGTCACCCCTGCTGATGGTAAGCCCCTACATATACGGCCATTATATGGTAACTGCAAGTCTTTAATAAGATCACTGAACACCCATTCTGGGGGGAGCAGTGAGCGCTCTTTGAAGTGCAGGCCAGAACCTGATTGGCTGCCTCTGTCTCAGCTCTGTTCACAGCACAACGAATCAATCACGCTGACAGCAGACTGTATGTTTATTTTAATAAGTAATATAGTGTTTGATGTGCGTTTCATCGGCAGAGGAAGAGGAAGAGAGGGAGTTTATAAGAGAAAAGGAATGACACAGTGATGGATAATGCTCTCTGTTTATTTCTCACAGGGTCACACTGCAGAGGTCCTCTCTCTGTGCTTCAACACAGTGGGAAATCAGCTGGTCACCGGATCCTTTGACCACACCGTTTCAATATGGGATGTTGCCTCAGGAAGGTCAGACATCATCATTGTTATAGACACAGTTACGACGTGTTTTAATAGGCAGACCCACATGTTAGCATCCTAAAGGGCTCCTTAGATAAAACTGATTTGGGATTATTGCAGCAAAAAAACACATGTTGGCAAACACATGTTTATAACACTTCCACGTTTTGTTTGCAGGTTAATCTCCACATGTGAACACCACTTTTAGGGTTTTTGAAGCGTAAATGCAATAGCCAGAAGTAAAAAGCGAACTTTACGCTTTAAACAAACTACACGACAGTCACTTGACTTCACCGCTAAGCTTAAGGCGGCTAATGTTTTGGCGTGATGGCGTTCAGTAGTCTCATGTAGGCACTTGTAGCAACTGCTATTTTTACGACACAAAGAAGCTTCAGACCTTCACCAGAGTGGTATTTACTGACGTATTTCACATCGTAGCACACAATTAAAAACAACTCTTAAGCTTGTGTTACCCACAGGCGCCAACCAAAAACACTTTGGGACAAGGGAACAGGAAGTGGTAAAATGCTGGGTTTTAGGACTCATTCCTGCATCAATGTCTGTCAGTGTTTCATAATGTATACTGTTCTGTACATGCATGCTATGGATTCTGCACACATGAGTGTTCAATCATCTTATTGCTTCGTTTTGTGTTTTTTTTTTCAGACGTGTCCACACTCTGATTGGTCACAGCGGGGAGATCAGCAATGTACACTTTAACTGGGACTGCTCCCTCATAGTCACAGGCTCCATGGACAAAACCTGCAAGGTGATCTATCATTGAGCTCTTCCAAATACTTTTAAAGACTGGAATTATATAAGCATAGTTTGTCAATCATTTAACATTTTACACAATTGCATAACAAGGTATGTGCGATGTCATATTCACCGTCATCCAGTTCCAACTCTCCGTCTCCTCCTACCTCCTGTCTTTGAGGTCTCCATCATTTAAAGGAGAAACATTCAATTCTAATATCTAAATCATGCCAAGATGAGTCGAGCTCTGACACATTATCCGCCTCACTGCATTCCTCCAGGGGGATGCTTTGAGAAAAAACACTTTATACATCAAACAGCTGCATGCAAGCACATTGTGTGTGTGTGTGTGTGTGTGTGTGTGTGTGTGTGTGTGTGTGTGTGTGTGTGTGTGTGTGTGTGTGTGTGTGTGTGTGTGTGTGTGTGTGTGTGTGTGTGTGTGTGTGTGTGTGTGTGTGTGTGTGTGTGTGTGTGTGTGTGTGTGTGTGTGTGTGTGTGTGTGTGTTAGATGGTGCTTCCTGCCTGTTTTAAAATGTACACTGATGTCACTGAGGGTGTGTGTGGTGTGTATGTCTTTGCAGTTGTGGGAGGCAGCCAGTGGGGAGTGTGTGGCCACGCTCACTGGACACAAAGAGGAGGTGCTGGATGTGTGTTTTGATTTAAGCGGTCAGCTCGTTGCTACTGCCTCTGCTGATGGTGAGACTCACATTATTCTTTTTATTCATATAACGGACGGTTCAATTTATTATAAATCTCTCCAGGAGTTTTGCGTTGTTTTGATCACATGCTAATTGCAATTTTCCAGTTCAATACATCCTCCATATTTTTTACTTTTGATATGTTCATACATGTGAAGTAAAATAACGATTGTTTAGATGACGACCTTACCCGTGCCTGTCTTTCAGGTACTGCCCGAGTGTTCAGTGTAAACACACATCAGTGTCTCGCGACCCTGGAAGGCCACGATGGAGAGATCTCAAAGGTGTGTCCCATAATGGCTTCTCTGCTACTGCCTGTGAAAAGTGATTTAATGTCACCAAAGAGAGTCTCACATTAATAATTTGTTTCAGTAGCCTTGGTGCCACAATGTAGTTTAGAAATGAGGTTTTTTTTCCTTGACCTTTTTTCCTTTTTCTCCTGTAGTGTGTTTTTGTGCATGTAAATGTTCTGCAAAGGATAAAATCCTATCCCTGTACGTGATATGCTACATAAGGGTCGGAACATCTCTAAGCGGTTGACCAATCACAACAGAGCCGGCCAGCTAACCAATCAGAGCAGACTGGGCTCTGGTTTCAGACAGAGGGTGAAAAGAGATGCCGGAGCTGTTAGATTAGCATTAACATGTAGTTGTATGTGCAATGCCTTGCGGCCTGTAGCACCCTCCTTGATGGAGCATATGTGTGGGCAGGGAAGGAGTGAGCAGATGGTAGCGTTGTCGATTCTTGTTCTGTTTTCTGTGACTATCTTCCTCACCCTCTCAGACTTTCAGTTGCGCGTGCTACTAAAGAGACGCGCTACCATGGAAACCAAACAAATGGTGTAGCTGTATTAAAGTCCGAGTAGAAACAGTCGTGAGTAAATCTGATTTTTTCTGAAATCGGGAGAAATGCGGAAGAAATATGACCCCGGTGAGGGCAATGAAATCGGGAGTCTCCCGCGAAAATCGGGAGGGTTGGCAAGTATGGTGTGGATGCATCGGTCAGTAGCAGGTGTGAATGAGCGTGTGATGTCTGTGTAACATTAACTGTCTAGCTCCCTTCCCCCTGGCCAGTGATGTAAATAGAAACATGCCTCTGTTTGCCTCGCTTCCATGCGATCCAGCCTGATGCTGAAGGACAGGGACAGGAGTTCAGGCTTCAGGCTGTTTTGTGTGTATTACTGTGTCGCATGGGAAACATCTGCACGTAGGACAAATAGTGCTGCTGATCTGACTAACGGACCGTCCACACAGCAGCGTTAAAAAATCTTGGAACGCTTCTGCCCATTCACTTTGAATGGGGTGACGTCACTTTGCCTCACTTTTCGCCGAACTGCATTGTGGGCAGGCGAGCGGAGATTTTCAGGATTTTCAGGATTCAAAGTTGAGCAATGTTCAACTTTTGAAGCTGAGGTGGAAGCGGCAGCCAATCAAATCCCGTGTATGCAAATCTGACAGTTCAAGCGCTAGCCAATCAAACCGCGTGTATGCTGGGAGAGACATACCGCAGGTCATTTCCTCATATTCCAGAACATGGAGGAGAAATTAGCGGTAGGGAATCACCCGGTGCTTTATGACCAGTCCCTATTTACCTACCGGGATACAAACCGGAGGAGCCAGGCATGGAGGGAGGTGGCAGAGACAGTGGTAGGTTTTCGCCTGTTTGGGGAGTTTATATCCAGTTTACTTCGGGCTTTTTTGCTTCGTATGTCGGGGGCGGGAGATTCATGTGATTGGTTGTTGGTGCCTTGCTCGCAAAAAATCCCCAAGCTTCAGATACGCCCACCTCCAAGATTTTTTTAACGCTGCTGTGTGGACGGGCCGTTACAGAATATCTAGCTTCAAAACTAGATGATTTCTAGGTAGCGCTACAGGAGAAAATATAAATCTCACCAGCCATACCTGAGGATGAGTTAGAACGGCATGACCTTGTGTTGTTAACCTCTGAACTCATGAAGTGCTGCACCCATAATAATAACTTTTATCCTGGTATATCATTCCCTGGAATCCAACAAACACACATTCTGGCATGAGGTGTGTATTTGACCCTGTGTTGACCTTGTACTTTAATAGGATTGATTTTACACATGTTCCTCCTTGTTCCGTGTGAGTGTGTGTCCTGCGGGGTCTGGCTCCGAGGGTTTCTACGATTGAACCTTCGTCTGTTTACTGATAGAGCAGGCAGTTATAAGAGGGTGGGATGGAGGATCATTCCCGAGGATTATGACACTAATCTCTGCCTAACGGGACACCTATTCCCCTCCCCTCTCTGCCTCTTATCCACGACCATGCTTTGTTATCTGGTTGGTCTCTCCTACTCCTCTGGGCAAATAAATGATGGACTGTTGATGAAAAGGCTGAAGTCCTTAATGCATGTTTATATGCATATTCTACTGTATAAATCATATTATGACAGGAATTCACAGTACATTTAGTTTTCAAATGTTTTGTTCCTTCCCATCTTAAACACTCCATTAGCTGCATTCTTATATCCTAAATCAAACCATAATGACAAGTTTGCAAAACATATTCATAATCCAGATGCCACATTTACATGAGTCTTAAAGAGGACGTATTCTGCTAATTTTCAGGATCATAATTGTGTTTTCTGCCTCAAATCAAATCAAGTTTTATTTATATAGCACATTTTTTAAACGATTTTTGGTCGAGCCAAAGTGCTGTACATACAATAAAAACACTTTACAATAAAAACACTTTACAACAAATACAACAGCAAAAAAAAAAAATCACACACAGGGAAATGTCAGGAGTCGTGCTCCGCTCTGACTAGAAGGCCAGAGAGAAGAAGTGAGTTTTAAGTGTAGATTTAGGCCCCGGCTCCATGAGGACGAAAACGGGTTGAATCCGCATATTTCTCATGCGTATAGCCCTCTAAGCTCGACGATGCCGTAAGGGAAACGTAGAAACAGACCCCGCAAACGACAACGGGTCCAAAGGTGGATAGATCTGGGAACGGAGCGCTCTGGGGGGTCCAACGGGGCCGTGGAGTCGCCTATACGGTCATTCGTTTTCATAGCCCCGCCTCTCCCTGCCTCTCCCCTGCGGGGTTGCTATCGTGCTCCAGTCGCTACTGACCATGCTACAGTTCTTTGTGCAACATCTACAGGAGCTCCTCCTTGAATTCAGATTATTTATCTTTATCTCGATATGGACATAAACGCGAGTGAAGTCTAATCTGACAGGACGGAGACACGCAGCTCCTGCCGCTGTGATGCAGCGGGAGCAAAACACACACTTCAAGTCAGATCATCACCCTTAGCTATTTTAATTACCTCTCAAACTACCTAAACTAGTTATAAATATGTTCATTTTTACTGTCGGGTCACTCATTACAGGATCAGCTGCTGCATGAGACAGACACTGACGCTGTGAGAAGAGAGGAAAAAGAGACAGGCTCTGTGTATTTGATGATTATATATCATTATATCGTCGTTATTCATTTGTTTTAAAGCTCAATAAATAACAATGAAGACCTTTGACCGGCACTTTTATAATTTTGTCCGGAAGATTTAAACTTTAACACACGCTGACCGGCGAAAAACTCTGCCCGGTTCTGTCGGCCCCCACCGCGGAGAATACACAGAAGTGCAGCCATGACAACCATTCTTCTTCGCTGCTTTTGTGGAGGAAGTTGCTGCTTTTGTGGAGGAAGTTACAGCGCCACGTACAGGTTCGGCATATGTACTGCAGCTTTTCCAGCGTTTGGATGTAAACGGAGCCGTCTCGTGGAGCTTGACACAATCCGGTGTATATTGCGTGGGGACGGAAGGTTTTTTTGCGGTTGCATTTGCGTTACTCCGATGCGTTTTGCCGTATTTGTCCTCGTGGAGCCGGGGATTTAAAAACCCCTAGGGTCTGGGCCGACCTCACATGGAGGGGCAGAGTGTTCCAGAGCCTAGGGCCAGCTGCTGCGAAGGCTCGGTGCCCTCGGGTATTGAGCCTGGTCTTGGGCACTACCAGCAGCAGCTGGTCAGCAGACCTTAAAGCTCTGGCTGGGGTGTAGCGCTGGAGAAGTTCTGCTATATAGGCCGGAGCCAGCCCATTTAGTGCTTTGAAAACAAATAAAAGGAGTTTAAAATCAATTCGGAACCGAATTGGAAGCCAGTGCAGTGAGGCCAGAATTGGGGTGATGTGGTGACGCTTTTTATGGCCAGTGAGAAGACGTGCAGCTGCGTTCTACACTAGCTGCAGGCATCTAATTGATGCCTGGTCCATACCCACATACAGAGCGTTGCAGTAATCCAGTCTCGAGGTAACAAAGGCATTAATAACCCTTTCTTGGTCTTTAAAAGATAAAAACGACTTGGTCTTGGCCAATAGTCGTATTTAAAAAAAGCAGGTCTTGACTACGGTGCTGACCTGCTTATCAAATTTAAAAGCGCTATTGAAGGTCACTCCAAGGTTCATGACAGAGGGGAAAATGTTTTTATTGAGGGAGCCCAGAATTTCAACCGGGGAGGCCTCGACTATGACATGTCTCCATGCTTTAATGTTCAAAAAGCTCTTTATTTTTCTCATACTGCCTGTGCTGCAGCACCTCTTTTCACCCTCTGTCAAAGGTCCTTACACACCAAGACGATTTCAGCCGTCGATAGTAGTCGATAGATGTCTGGCCGTCGATGAGCGTCCTGTCGCCCTACTCAGATTGGTGTGTCCGTCCCGTTGTGTCTTTTCGTCCCGTGCCGACAGCTTCCGCCGCCGATTCAACATGTTGAATCGGGAGGCTGTCGGCTAAAGGCCGTCGGCCAAAGAAATCACTCTGATTGGCTGTTCAGCTAGCGAATCAGTGCATGAGAAGCGAAACGGAAGTGAGGGACCCAAACAAACTATTAAGAAGGCAAATCTGAGATTTCATTTAACTCCAGCTCTCGACACAGGTTCGGGAAAGCCCCATGAGCTTCTCGCTGTAGAGTGAAAATGGAACGCACACGCTATTTGTTGTTTGTTTATATCACGCAGTCTGTTCTTCTTCTCTCGGTGTATCACGCAGTCTGTCTTCCGGTTGTTGCCTCTTTTGAATGACGAATACACACTACCGCCGCCTGCTGGTAAGGAGAGTTATTGCCACTCACGCATGCGCAGTTCGTACGTGCTACTTGGCCGTCGGCTGAAGTCTTTGCGGTGTGTTCCAGTGCGACACATGGCCAAGACGCAGGAGACGTGAGGCGACACAACAGTCGTGTTCCGTCGGGACGTGTTCTTTGGTGTCAGTTTGGTGTGTAGGCCCCTAAAACCAGAGCCCAGTCTGCTCTGATTGGTTAGCTGGCCGGCTCTGTGGTGAAAACAGGGGAAATCAACAGTTTTGAACATAATCATGTCTGCTTGAGGAGTAGTACCAAAGAAAACATCAGGTTACATATCATCCATCAACAGCAAATCTAAAAACAAGCTATTTTAGTATGTACTGTAGGCTGACAACTTTAAATAATTTAGTAATTTGTTGTTCTGTTTACCCACTATTTAGGAAATGACGTTTGAATTTGTATGTAATATGGAATTGGGACAAAACCTCAGTCTTGTTTATTTATAACTCTTTCCTGTAATTTTCTCTTTCTTTTCTTTCCATTTCTGCTCTTGTAATCTTCTTTCTCCGATATTCTATCTTTGTCAGCTTCCATTTCCTGTCTGGGCTCGCTCCTTTGTTCCCCGTTTATAGTTTTAATAAAAACATACTCTACTTTCATGGCCTTCTAGAGCCAGCTTCATTTAATCATCTCCTTCTTCACCTCACTACGGGGATAGAAAACCATTCAGGGAACGATAAACCAGAGCTCCAACGCAATCAGCCTCAGCCGTGATTTTCATAATGCCACTTGTGCTTTGATCCTCCTTAAGTATTTCAAGTTGAAAGACCTCTGTGGAATAGTGTTGCTGATGTGGTAAAAGTGTTACAAACTCACTCATCTCTCCCTCTCTCTGAGTCATTTCCACCACTTCTGGCATTATTTCTTATTCAGCACGCACGCACGCACGCACGCACGCACGCACGCACGCACGCACGCACGCACGCACGCACGCACGCACGCACGCACGCACACACACACACACACACACACACACACACACACACACACACACTTCTGGGTGAGACTGACTCTCCTGCCGCTGTGTGTAGATCTGTTTCAGCCCCCCCGGCAGCAGGGTCCTGACGGCCAGCTCCGACAGGACGGCTCGTCTGTGGGACGCTCGGTCTGGAGTCTGCCTGCAGGTCCTGGAGGGCCACACGGACGAGATCTTCTCCTGCGTCTTCAACTACGAGGGCGACACTATCATTACAGGTACACACACGCACGCGCACGCGCACACACACACACACACACACACACACACACACACACACACACACACACACACACACACACACACACACACACACACACACACACACACCACATCTTATAACGTGTAGCCCTGAGCAGCGCATGAAGTGCTCAGTATGGTATGTCTTAAAATAAATAAATATGTATATTATGTAAATATGTCATAAAATATTTGTGTAGTAGTAGTAGTAGTATGTCCTGAAAAATAGTGAGTCAATATGCTGGACTTCTTATGTTTATCTATTTTGTTGATTTTCTTTTGGATATTTTAATTTATATTATTTTTCTTTTTATTGCCCATTATTACTTCTCATGTTAATGTTAAAAATGCTTGATGTCAATGTGTCATTAAAAATAAAAATAGAAACCATTATGTGACACGTAATTAAATGTGATAGTGTGTCATTAACATTGGGCAGCACATAAACAGCTCATCGCCAGACATCCCAAATCCTTAATTGCACATTTGAGATCCAAACCGTGCAGCTGTTTCCTTCTGTGCACCAATCTGTTGTTGTTTGTGCTCTCCTGCAGGCAGCAAGGACAACACATGCAGGATCTGGTACTGATGCTTTACACGGATACAGCCATCCACTGTAAAACGTTGTAATTCAAAATACATGTTAATAAAAGTCTGTTTTACAGCATCTGTGTGGTTAAAGTGGGATTACAAATCGCTGTTGCTTGAGTGATTTAATGGAAGTAATTTGTCCCTCTGATGTTGCAACCCAGTCTCACGGCATTTCGTGTTATTGTCACGGATTTAATCTATTGATTCGTGTTCACCAACACGATTTTCACATTTTTTTTCGTGTCACACAGAATGATTTTAAAAGCAATGTATTTCTATTGGTAGTATGTTTCATGCCTGCACCAAATAATAACAAATTAGAAGGAACATTTAAAAAAAAATACAGATTTCAGTATTCTGAGGCTCTGAGCCATTTCTTTTCCTCGCGGACGGAAAAAAAACTCCGACATTATACAATTTAAAATAAAAGGGATAGGGTTAGGCTTAGGGTAAGATATTGAGTAAGAACATGTTTTTATGAACCACACAGCTTCTGGTCTTCCAAGACCCGACCGGACAAAAAGACGTGGTGCACGCACGAAACATACTACCAATAGAAATACATTGCTTTTAAAATCGTTCTGTGTGACACGAAAAAAAGGGGAAAATCGTGTTGGTGAACACGAATCAATAGATTAAATTATTTTTGTGACTATAACACGAAATGCAGTGAGACTGGGTTGGATGTTCCTCCTGTTACTCAATCTGTTTAAATCTGCACTTGTTTCCTGACTGTATGAGCCTAACCGTTTGATTACGTTGCTCATAAAATGTTTTCAAATATAGTAGTATATATATATAAATTTGGAAAATATGGTTTAAAAGGCCGGGAGACAATTAGCTTAGCTTAGCATAAAGACTATAAGCAGCTTCACTTGTTTCCTGACTCTATTTACTCCACAGTTTAACTTTTACCTTCACAACATGTCTTAAAATATAGTATATAAATAGTTAAAAGTCCTAAACTAAGGTTAACTAGTTTCATATTTGGAAAATGTGCTTTGAAAGAGTTAGGAGACGATTAGCTTAGCTTAGCATAACGACTAAGCAGCAGGACACAACTAGCCAGGCTCTGTCCAAAGTGAAAACAATTAAAACTCAGTTAATAACTCCTTACAGCAGGGGTGTCAAACTCAAATACACAGTGGGCCAAAATGAAAAAATGGGTAGCCTACTAGTCGAGGGCCGGACTGGTTCAATGTTTATTGCAAAACGTATTGAAATGAACTTATTGCACATATTAAACCTGGAACTAACAAAGCTTAAATTATTGCCTATAAAAACAACATTAAACATTAAATAATCAGTTGCATTCATTTCTTATGGCTCTATCTGCAACTTTTCCAGAGTCATTTCTTATGAGTACATTTTCCCACAGGCCAACAACAGCTTCAAAAAAACTATTTCCCTCAAAGAACAAACCAAACATGCCCTGTTGTCTCAAGAAACAAAGTGCAGAAGGAAACATCCATGTAAACTCAGTGTGCTGCTCTGTGATGCTAGTTCAAGCCAGATACTTGGCATCTCATCTTGGGTGCAAGTTCATCAATGTTTGGGGTCAGGCTCTGAGCTGAGGAAACCCTCAGGATTGAGTGAAGGTGTGCGTGCAATATACCGGTGGGCCAGATCTAATAGTAATTAAAAATTATCCTGCGGGCCGAAATTAAATCCACCAAGGGCCTGATTTGGCCCCCGGGCCTTGAGTTTTACACATGTGCCTTAAGGGACACAGTTATCCATTAGACCACAATTTGTAAATCTAACACATTAGCTACGTTGATTTTGAACAAAGGTAGGCTTCAGTAGCTTTCATGCTAGGCTAAGCTAATCATCTTGTGACTTTAGTTTCGTTAACAGACAGACATGAGCAGTACTAATAATTAATTTCTGATAGCACTGTGCAGTAATGACTATTTATTCAGTAGCTTCAATACCTTTAGGAAGACCACACAGTTATATTATGTGTTTGGTTCCCTTTTTGCTAAATGTTACAAAAGGATCAAGACAGCTTGTATTTCACATCACAATAATTTATTGATGCCAAAAGATAAATACATTCAGTTCTACCGTGACAGAGTTTACAGCTGAATTGTGTGCTTTATTTTTACCCAATGCTGATGTAACACTAGAGTACCACTAAGTAGAGAGATAAACAGACCAAATGCACATACAAATTCAACATTACAAACCTTACTCTGTCTTCATGACTTAGTAAAAGCTGAAGAGAGCAGTCCACTCCTCCAAGGTGCAGCAGTTCCAAAAATCTACAGTATATACAGGACAGCTATCCAAAGTAATCAGTTCTCAACATGATAACAGACTTACCAAGAACTGAAGTTCACAACAGATGTGTAACGTCAGCTTATGAACACAACAAAGATATGGGCATTTTGCTTACTTTAAGAAAGATGTGCAATTCTAGGTGGTTTACAAATCAAATGAAAGCTTTTTCTGGGCTTACTTTTCTCCAGCCTCTTTTACAAAGTATTTGAGATACAAAAATGTTGAGTTGCGGGGAGATTTTAACCTGATTTTTCTTTCATCTATTGATATTCTCTGTGTTCATTTGGAATAAATAAATAAATAAATACATAGTTTGGTTGTGAGAATCTGTAAATATATATATATGTATACTGTGTGTATATATATGTATAATCTGGAGCAGTTAAAACCTGCTGACTATAATCTCTTGAAGGTTGTTCGTTCCCATCAGGAATGTTTAACCCTTACACCTACAGTTTGTGATTGTGTGTGAATCTGAAAAACAAAAACATGCTTTTATTAAAGGGAAACTGGTCCATTTATGACTGCGGATAGACGAAAAACACCATGAACAGACTTAGGTGTATGAATTTCTCAAGTATGCTGATCGCGTTGTGCCTTCAGCTTGCAGTTAGAGTCAAGAACATGTTTCGGCGAATGAGTGTCTTTCTGTTTGCTGAATGAGGAGCTACAGGGTCTCCAACAGCCAATCAAAGAGGCTGGACAGAGCGCGCCCCTCCTCTTCCTTTTTCTCATGAAGCTTACAGAACTGGACCACGGCGCTGAAGAGGTCCGCAACCCTCCACGACTTCTGAGACATCAGGTGGACCACCCTCTGGAACTGAGAGAAGACACACATATAAAAGAGTATATATTATATCATAATATAGTATGTTGTAAAAGAAAGTAATTGAAAAATACTGAAAACCTTCTCATAAAGCATGTCATAAAATGTAATGTTATAAAATGTCAAACTATTATTAATACAATTCAAAAATGTAAAGAAAAACAAAAAAACGTTTTGATAAACTATACAATATGTTTTTTTCACATTTTTCAACAAACTATACTATGACTCAACATATTATATATTATTAATATTATATATTAAAACATATTATTCTATTACTTTTTCAACATGTTTCATTTATTTTAATTTTTTTATTCTATACTACCATATTCAAAATATTTGTAACATAATATATGATATTTCTTTCATTACATTTTTGACATGACTTTTTTCTTGATATTTTCAAAATATTAAACTATGACTATTTTTCATGACATATATCCGACATACTATCCCATTAATTTATATGCTAATACCATTACCTTTTTTCCCAACATTTTAGACTTAGCTTACCTTTGCAACCCTCTTCTCTTTGGACTTCCTGAAGTAGAGCGCAGGCAGGCCCAGCTCGGAGGCAGCGATCCACTGCAGAGCCACTCGGAGCTCCGAGTCCACGCTCTCTGGATCCAGGTCGCAGTTCACCACCAGCAGCAACCTGTCGCCCAACGCCCTCGCTGAACTGCTCTCTGAAACATCCAAAAGTGACAGGAATTAACTTCTGTTTTGGTTTTGGTCTGTGCTTTGTAGAATAAAAGGACTACAACTGTATTTGTTTGTGCAACCCTGTGTTGTAGAAAGCAATACATAACGCTGTAGTAAGAGAGCATCCCAGCACCATAAATAATGCATGTCATTTTCTTCTATACCTGCTTGGACATTAATGCTAACATGCTAACCTTTGCATGCAATCAAACAGCATGTTCAGCTTCATAACATAGAAATATCCAGGGCTCAGTTCTCCTTCCAGTTCATCTTTGTTGGATTGTTAGACATAAAAAAGAGATGAACTCTATGTTGAGACACTTCAGGAGCTATGGGCCCTTTTCAATGTTTAATGGACATCTTTAATTCAGAGAATCGCCTCTAATCAAGCCCAAACTGCACGGTTCCTCCAGTCACTCAACAGCTTCTGGTTAGCAGAGAGGCTAACGCTTAAAAAGGAGGTGAATAAATAGGAGGTTGATGCCATTGAGAGATCATTTTCGAAATATATACTTACCAAATATGTTTTCTTTTGTTCCTGCCAGATGTGCTTTCACTGTCTCCCCACTATGAGGGAAAAATACCAATTAAAAGTTGCAGTAGCATACAGTTTAGGAATAGTTCTTATGTCTCTACGGTCAACAAAGAAACTAGAACCATAGCTGGTTAGCTTAGCTTAGCATACAGACTGGAAACAAGGGGGAAAGCTAGCCTGTCTCTGTCCAAAGGTAAAATAATCTGCCTAGCAGCACCTCTAAAGATCATTAATTGTTAGTTCAATCCATACTGATATTTGTATTGATCTTGTGTTATTTTATAAAATTGTGAATTTTAACAATATTTAGGGCAAGGCTCCAAAAAAAACAAGTGCATTTTCTGCCTCTTCCATAACTGTTTATCATTTGTTATCTGTTATACAGTATTTGTCTATTTTTAAATTGTGCAAAACAATATAATAATTAATTAATAAATACATTCCAAAAAGGAAATGTAAAAACTGTGAACTGTGGTTTTAACCCTTTAACAGCCAGCGCCACCATTTGGTAGAGCACATTTTGTGTCTTGATATCTTGTTGAAAAAAAAGAAAAAAAAGTTTTACTCCATCTGATTCAGCCAGCTCTACCGTTTGGTTGACATGTTATGCACAAAACAACCTCTAGATGTCACTGTGGTTCGAACAAAAAGCCCTTCAGCTAGCTTCCACTGAGAAAGTTGGCATGCGAAAAATCACTCCTGAAGAAATCACTCTTTTTGGTCAACTTTTGTAAGGTAACCATATCATTTTTGACATATTTTAGT